ATGTGGATATTCTTAAAGACACTAATCTTACTTACCAATAAATAAATTCCAGTGAACAGAATGTGACCTGCTTTGCTTCAGAGTCAATCCGTTTTAAGATCAGGCTGTAAATGGAGGTTTGGGGAACAAACTCAGTCAATCAAAAGCACATTATTTTTCAAAAAATAATAATGAATGAATGAAAACTAGCAGCCTTACCCATGTTTCACCCATGTTCCTCTGAAAGCATTTGGTAATGTTGAAACCACATGTTGTCCAATCACAGAACATTTCAGGATTTTGAGTCATGATTTGCAGTTTGGAAGTTTAGACAGCCAATCTCGCTGGGAGCATGACCCTTGTTACCTAGTTAGGCACTTGGCAGGACGGCGTTACAGATCAAGGAGAAGTTTCAGCTAATATATAAGTAGAGCTCAAAATTCTCTTTTGACATTTGTGTTGGCATTCTCAGTCAACGGAAACAACCAATACATATTTGAATGTGACAGAGACCACATTAAAGTCCTACTGCATTTATTTTCTTCCCACAGCAAAGTAAGATCAAACTCTTTCTTTTCTCCTTCCATTTTTTAAATTTTGTTTTATTTGTTTATACACACACACACACACCCATCACTTGATTGTAAAATCATCATCATCATCAAATCACTCTCAAAGCAGGTTGCAAAAAGAATATATTTTATTTTACATAGCAAGCATACATAAACCAAACATAGAACATATGTTCAAAATCAAAACGTATCAAACAGGGTCATAGTACCCGGAAGTACGTAATACTTTAGATTAGAACAACTCACCAGTACCTATTACTTTTCTCAATGTGGGGTCCATAGAACTGCAAGCACTCACAGACAAAAGATGACCATGCCCCTATAAGTTCACGGCCATCTAAAGGCGCCACCTTGTGGCAAAGAGTAGCCATAGCGCTGTGGTCTTTTGTGACTCTCACCAGAGGTTTTCAGCCAGTGTGCCGTGGCACCCTGGGGTGCCTTGAATCACTGGCAGAGGAAGAGGGGGGTGGAGGGAGTGCACCGCCCCCAGCACAATCCTGGTGGGGTGCCATCGTGGCTGCTCCCTCCCCCCGCACGTGCTGGGCGCCACACTCCCTGGACACATGCCACACTCCCGCCTGCTCTCTGCCCCTGGTGCCGGAGCATGAAGCTCCGCCATTGCCTTGAATGATGGTCAGGAGTGCCAAGGGCAACACTGGCCTCTGTCCCTCTTTCTTTCCCTCCCTCCTCTGATGTCCTCTCCTGTCTCTGCCTCTGGAGTTGGAGTAAGCAAGCAAGCAAGCGGGCAAGGGAGCCCTGCCAGCCACTCCACCAGCCCTTGCTGTTGGGAATGGACAGACAAGTCCCAAACCTCGGTGGGGCAGTGTGAGGAGGCACCTCTCTTTGGAGCAGGGAGGGGGCAGCTCAGAGACCAGGGGTGGCAGCAGTTGCTGCCCAGAAGACTCCCAAGGAGAGGGGAGAGGAGAAGAGGTTGAGGGAACACTTCACAAGGTTCGATAGAATGATGAGAGGCTGCCCGCTCTGCAGGCAAGGGGTGGCATAACTGGGCTCTGGAGTCCTACAGGGGTGCTGCAGAAAGAATGTAATTGGTCAATGGAGCCGTGGATTCAAAAAGGTTGAAAACCTCTCCTCTAACCTGAAGGCAGCCTATATTGCAGCTCAGCAAGGGCTTGATAAATCTTGTGGTTTTTTCTGTGTGCAAATACCTGGTGGGTGGGTTGCATTTGGCTTGAAGAATGCAAAGCTGTGTTGGCTTCATTCAAATGAGCTGATGCAAATTCTAATGCCTGCTTGAAGCAAATTAAAGAATTCCTAGCGGTACCACTCAAAAATAGGAGCCAAAGTGCCTTTTTCGCTTTCTGTGGATAGCGGGTGGGCAGGGTGGCATTGGCATATTGTTCTTGCAAGGCTGCTCCATTTCCGATGGACAATGCTGCCTCCTGCTGCACAGACTGCACTGTTGCATTTGTTACTGCCCGTCTTGCACCAATGTCTCAAGTCAGGGAGGTGACGATGATGCTGGGGAAATGGGGGACACTCTGTTGTGCAGTCTAAAATAAGGAGCGCTTCTGTTGTTTTAGGGAATGGACCAATCCTTTAAAACAGATGCCCTATAAATAGGACAGCTCATGTCTAGCCAAACCTTATAGTCCCAGCTTGCATATATACTTTTATCCTTACCAGGTGGCATATTCTCATGTGATTACACACACACTGTATTTTGCTAGTTGCTTGCAGTCTTCACTTATGCTGGCTTGGGGTTTTTTCAGAAAGGAAAAAGGTACAAAGCTAATCACTTCATGTTTAAACACAAGGAAAGGTAATTTGGAATATTGTTCCAGTTGCAATGGGCTTAAGGCTGAAATCCTAAATTTATTGGGAGTAAGTCTGTTGAATAGCAGTGGGACAGATTTCCAAGTAAACATACAGAATTGTACCATAAGTGCATCAGACTGAAATGTATTCAATTCCATCCACCTCATGCCATTTTTCTGTTGTTGTTGCTTAAACAATTACTGTATTTTGCAACTTGATAGTCATTGTCCTTCCACCAATGGGTTGCTAGTATCTAAATATCTTAAATAATAGTGATTAAGACTCCTCATCATATTTCCCACACATTCATATATTGACCAAATTCCACCCACATTTTCTTATTTAAACACAATACCCATATATACATTGTCTAGTAATACAGCTCTGTTTATTATCATTTCCACCCACCCACCCACCATATTTAGCAATGTATAAAAGCATAACTACAGAAATGCGTACTCCAACTACAGATGAAGGGCACAAGGAGAAGGGGACGACAGAGGACGAGATGGCTGGATAGTGTTCTTGAAGCTACCAGCATGAGTTTGACCAAACTGCGGGAGGCAGTGGAAGACAGAAGTGCCTGGCGTGCTCTGGTCCATGGGGTCACGAAGAGTTGGACACGACTAAACAACAACAACAGAAATGCGTGCAGATTTCACAAATTCACTACTCCTGTGCACAAGTGCTGGTGGTGGGGAATCCAGCTGTTGTTACAGCAGGAATTACAAGGTAGTCTACACCCTGTAGCCAGGAGCAGAACCTCCTAGGCGTTCAGACCTGAGAGTAAGAGTGGCCTGGAAGCTTCATGGAAGTCTAGATGCTTAAATTTACTCCCTCTGGCCTATTGCAGCTAACAAGTTTTCTTCTTTGGCAGGCTGGAAGTGCCGGCCCTATCATTAGCAAAGCTGTTGCCTCAGATGGTAGCCACTTGGGGCTGTGGGAGACATCCATTCCCTGGTCATTCCTCCTGAGCACACACCCCTCCCACCCCCAATTTCAGGCCTGTGTGTGGACTTGTTGTCTTGCATTGAAGGATGCAGTTTCGTTGCCATTGTTGATGTAAGATCCAGCTTCTGTCTGTAGAATTGAAGGAGGCGTCTTGTCCTTCATCCAGTGGCATAGCTAGCCATTTGGGCACCCAGGGCGGTGCAAGGAGGCAGTGGGGCGGGGCAGGGCACACAAGAATCCCAGTGCCCAAGCCCCATGCTCCGGCACCCTGCAGGCCTGTGTTGTTTTCTCGAGCAGCGTGGAGCCTGCAGGGAGTCCACCCGCCACCTTCCCCTCAGCTGTAGAGCGGCTGAGGAGGAAGCGGAAGGCAGATTCCAGCCCTGTGCTGGTTGAAAAAGCAGCGCAGAGCCTGCAAGCGCCTCAACCACCGCATCACTCCCGGGAGAGACACATGGGTTGGGCACGGTAAGTGCTGCCCCCCGCAGTATGGCGCCCAGTGCCCCCTGCCCCTGCGCCTCTGCCTTCATCTAAGCAAAGAAGAAGAAGAGGAAGAGTTTGGATTTGATATCCCGCCTTTCACTCCCCTTCAGGAGTCTCAAAGCGGCTAACATTCTCCTTTCCCTTCCTCCCCCACAACAAACACTCTGTGAGGTGAGTGGGGCTGAGAGACTTCAGAGAAGTGTGATTGGCCCAAGGTCACCCAGCAGCTGCATGTGGAGGAATGGAGATGCGAACCCGGTTCTCCAGATTACGAGACTACCGTTCTTAACCACTACACTACACTGGCTCTCTCTCTCTACAAAATGTAGTGGACCAGCTCAAGTGGGTGGTCTTTGCCATTTCCTTCTTGGCCAGTGGTTGGGTCTGTCTGTCTTTCTGTCTCTCTGACACACACAGCCTTCTCCCCAATATTCTTCAACTGGTCAGAGAGAATAAAGGAAAGGAACCTCAGAAACATGGTGACATGATATCTACGGATCTTTTATGACTTGGGGAATATTGAGGAGGGAAAATGTGAGTGCTATTAATGCCCAGGGCTGAAGATGTTTTTCCTCCATCTCTTCAAGGTAAAGATTTTCACCCCTGAGACCATTTTCTCTAACACATTCTTTGTACAACTTCTGGCAAAACAGTGCTTTTTATAGCCCACTGTGACACAGACTATTTACTACCAAGCAGGAGAAATTTAAACCATCTAGTTCATCTCATTTCTAGCAAAAGCTGAGCCCTTGGGAATCAAATTATTCCCAGCCAACCCTTGGCTCCAGTAAACCTCCTTCACATCACACCTTCAAAAGCTGCAGGGAACAATGTGCTAGGGATCTTGAACGTTGCCTGGTTTTACAGGGATACCAATGTTGCTTTAAATATTTTTCCTTTTAATGCTAGTATACTTTGATGGGATTTGGGTCTGAGGAGGCAACATCTTTTAAAGCAGCTTCTGGGGATCAGAACTGCTGATTTGAGATTAGCTGAATTATTATTTTCTTTATGTATTTATAGAAAAACCTTTCCTTTTAAAATCATCCACACAATTAGTCTATCACCAGCTGAACCAAATTAGGGACAGATTATGAAACAAAAAATAATTGATCATCAATATCAGAGATAGCGGAGTTTCAACATGTATGGCTTTTGCATGACGAACATGAAATAAGACCAATTTTGTTAGAAGGCAGGAAAAAACTGGTTAAAAATACAGCAATATTCCTCTCCATTTATAACTCAGGGATGAAGCTCCCCGCCTTTATTCCAAAACCGTCAGAAATATTAGAATTAATGCCCTGCAGCAAAACACTCAATAACCATCTCTCCTCAGAGAAGGCAAATACATGGCACTTTCCAATTAACTGCTCCTCTAAGCAATTATACTGATCAAATAAATGAATAAGTGACGGGCATGTAAATGGTAGACACAGCTAATTTCATTCATCTGGAGGTTATAGAACTACTTCTATAAGCACTTAATGTGTTATTTCAAGCTTCAATGAGAAACATAAATACAATTAATATAGTCCAACAAGAAGAACTTGGGTGCACACAATATGGCTGCCCTCATTATCAAGTGAATATTGCAATAATGAAGGTTTCTGGCCTCCAGCTTATTGAATGATGTTGGTGCTGGGGCTTTTTTGCCCGGCCCCCCACAAGGTCTGAGGAACAGTGAACTGGCCCCCTGCTGAAAAAAATTGCTGACCCCTGGCTTAGATTCAAGCTATCTGAAAGATCATATTCCAGGCTTATACAAACCTGCCCAGGCTTTGAGAACTTCAGGGGAGGCCCTTCTTGTGGTTCTGCCACCCTCACAGGGATGCTTGATAGGGATGCAAGAGAAGACATTCTTGGTGAACTCCCTCCCTGTATAAGCTGGACTGGCTCCCTCCTCGCTGTGTTTCAGACTTTATTGCTCCATCAGGCTTTAGGAAACTGACTGCTTTTAATGAAAGGACTGGTGCCGGGCTGTTTTATTGTACAGTGGTACCTCCGGTTTCACACGGGATCTGTTCCAGAGCTCCAGTCGGATCCCGAGGTGCCATTTCTGTGCATGCGTGCAGCACGGTTTAGTGCTTCTGTACATGCGCACATGGCGCAACCCGGAAAAATACTTCCTGGTTTGCCGCACACGTATCCCAAAGGATACGTAACTGGAGGTGAACATAAGTACAGGTATCACTGTATTTGTATTGTCTGTCTGTCTATAATTTTAATTCTATCAATGTTTAGTTCTTTTAAAATGACTTCTTCATTGTTACTGTTCTTATTTTTATCTGTAAGCTACTTTGACTTCTTGTCAGTGGAAAAGGCGGGTTATAAATATATACAGTGGTACCTCGGTTTACATACGCTTCAGGTTACATACGCTTCAGGTTACAGACTCCGCTAACCCAGAAATAGTACCTTGGGTTAAGAACTTTGCTTCAGAATGAGAACAGAAATCGTGCTCCGATGGCACAGCAGCAGCAGGAGGCCCCATTAGCTAAAGTGGTGCTTCAGGTTAAGAACAGTTTCAGGTTAAGAACGGCCCTCTGGAACGAGTTAAGTACTTAACCCGAGGTACCACTGTAATAATAATAATTTAAGAACATAAGGATTTGCAAGCTGAGTCACACCAAAGTCTAGATGAGCAGTCTATCTCCAATTCAGTCTTTGGACACTCACATACAGGAACAACCTGCTATGAGAACATCTGTGGATGCATTAAGCAAGCAGGCATTTGACAGGAGAGCTTATCTACAGCTGTTGAGTGTGTAAAGATATGAGGAAAGTAAGGGCCTAAAAGGAAGTGTATTATGCTCAGTTGCACATGGTCCTGAAGACCACAATGCCATTCTTAAGTTCATCCCCAGCATCAACTATTCAGGGGCATACTGCTTCTGATCCCGGAGGCTCTATTTAGCCATTATGTCTGATTGCAATTAGTAAACATAGCTTTACAAAAGGAATAGAAACTTTCATAGGATCATTGCCCTTTGTGAACCAAAATTCTATTCATGTCATCTCGTGTCTCCACACAGCAAACATGCATGGAGAGAGCATGGGCAGTAGGCTGTGTAATATGCAGAATCCCATGCCATTTCCCCCACTCCTAATTATAGCATGGAAGTCATAGCACAAATGGTGTTAATGTGGCATACCATTGATCACTGGAGCAGATCAGGAACTAGGGTAATTGGTGTAACTCTGCACAATTTTTTTAATATCGGTTTTGTTTAATAACTAAGGCACACTTGGATGACCTTGCTTTCTTACCAAATACTAAAACACACACATTCATGTGCTCAATACTCCATATCAGGGCTTACTTGACACAAGGTTGCAGAGTTCTGACCTCTGTCATCAGCAAAGGAAGACCATTGTGGCAAGAGGGAAACCAACCTGGTCCTACTGGCCAAAGACAGAGCAGCTGCAGGTGACTTTCTTCCCTCTCCCTGCCAGAAAGAACACTGTGCTCCCACTGATGAATGACTGTGGTATGCAAAAGCAAGAGGAAAGGGCACTCTGGCCCCATCCATCAGCCAGAGGAGCAAGATCCATCAATTGCTATTCAAGCAAGAACACCATGAACATTAGATTGAACCTGGCCCCAATGCATATGAATGCTTGCGGTTCAAAACTTTGGTCTGGCCTTGAAGAACTGATATCCCTCTTTCTGCCTTTCCCCATCCTTGTGTCTCTTTTAAGTTTGTAAGCTAGATGAGGCATGTAAGCTACGGCCAGCTTCTCTTTCTGTCTCTCTTGATGAGAGGTGCTTTGAGAGACACTTAATTACCTGAAAAGTGGGATGAAAACACAGCAAACAAATAAACATTAACTACTTTGTTATGTATGAAGCTGCCTTGTCTTGAGACATACCATTGCTCCACCTAGACCATTACAGTCTACTATGACTGGAGTAGTTCTCCAAGGTCCCAAGCAGAGGTCTTTTTCTAGCCTTCTTACCTCAGAGTCTAATGCTCATTGTTCATACACATACAGTGGCTTAAGAAGACAAAACACAATTTGAAAGATTGTTAGGGCACACTTTTTTAATCCAGTCATTTGTGTTAATATACAAATACAGTCTGCATGTTTAGGCATTATTCTCATTCATAAATAATTTGGCCTCCATACATTCACAGGCATGATACAAACAGAATCGTAAGTTACTAAGCACCAGGACTATTTGTTATTTGTCAGAAACCCAGAATTGCTCTAGAAACATAGTTCAGTGGGCCCCTCTTCAGCAGTCTACTGAACACCCAATGAGGAGTTTCTCTGTTAATTAAATGGCAGCTTCTTCAGTCTGCTGGATGAACAGTCCTGAGGGGGATTTTCTTGTGTGTATTTTTAAAAAAAACATACATACAATGACTGGAGATTGCAAAGCTGTTTTGTGTGTCACACACACAGAAAGAGAGAGCAAATAATTATACCGACTATCCTTTGGCATAACTGCCCATATACCATGAATGCATATTAGACAATATGTTCAAGCAGGGATGGGAAATGTGTGGCCCTCCAGATGATGTTGGACTCCCAAATCACATCAGGCCCAGCCAGCATGAACAATGGATTGTGGGAGTTGTAGTTCAACAACTTCCAGAGGGCCACGTATTTCACACCCCCACACTAAGCATCTTCTACACCACACTCTTTTAGAGATCAAAGGAAGATGAATTGCACTACGTGTGTCACACTCAGCTGAGCCCCGTTGCCATCCAGCCACTGTCAGCGAGAGGCAAAATTAATTATTTGCAAGATGTGACTTGCCCCACAACACTATGCATTGCACCACCCTTCTCCAACCAGATGCCCTCAAGATGTTTTGGACTAAACTCACATCTGTTCTGGCCACCATGGCCATGCTGGCTGAGGCTGATGGGAGCTACAGTCTAAAATATCTGAAGGGCACAGAGCTGCATCATATCAAGCAACTATTTGGACCAAACATTTCTACAATGCTGGGCAAGGAAGTAATTTTTTCATATTACTTTTTTTTCCTGGGGCCAACTATCTGTACTCTCACAATTATGCTTCCTTTATCATTTTTATGGTGAAACCAGTTCTCAAGACCAAAGGGAACAGATCTCCAAAGGCCACAATTGTGAATTAAGGCCTTTAATACTTTTTAGCATACAATCCAGACGTTTTATTTTACACCTTTTTAAAGAACATTAGCTGTTTCTTCTTAGAGTCCATGGAAAAATGTCCCCTAGTGTCATTAACTATGGTTCAGTGTCAATTATGCAATCCCAGTGTACAACATGGTGGGGATTTCACAATATGTTAGGCAGTATTAAATTTGCAGACATAACACCTACCTATGCTTGAAAAGAATAAAAACCTAAAACCCTCTACCTACATTATACACAATCATACTGTGTGCAGAGCTACAGATGAGCCTGCTAGGAATAGGCCTTGGTTATAGTTCCTACAGGTTTTCATTGTCTACTGCGCACGTGCCTCTACTCCCAAACCCCAATTTTCACTTATGGTAACTCAAAGTTCCTTGCTATTTATACAAGGTCACTTCTCACCCCTGTTGCACCCTTCATCACTTGATCACAAATGGGTAGTTTTTCACATCATGAATTCTCCAGTGGTTCCCTTTATCAGGCTGATTTGGCAACATGTAAAACTATTCTCTGTTTTATTTGTTTTCAAGTCATTATTCTTGTTGATTACATAAGCAGTTATCAACCTAGATTCGATGATATACCTTTCCCTCAATTAACACGTCTGGTGGCAAGCCCCCCCTCCCCACAAAATGTATAGAGGGCCATAATGGGATTGTGTGCATGTTTTTGACACAGCACTTCCCACAGCTAATTTAACAATGCAGGTTTGGGTGGTGGTTTTTTTTGAAATCTAAATAACAGATTTGGCCCTATGGCTGCCAAGGAGCTGTGACAAAACTGCAAAAAACAATCCCCAAGTGGAACAACAGTCCGTGTAGCAACTGCACATTCAATCCAATTCTCACCTGCCGCAAATGAGACAGGATTTGACTTTGACAGCATTTGTATTTGACTGCCATCATTCATGTTTATAGATTTATCATTATCAAGAATCAGTAATGCACACAGGAACTGCTACACTTAAGACTGTGAATTCCATGCTCCTGCCAAGTTTTAATTTTCAGAGGAATTTTAAGCCACAAATTTTTGAAAAGAAGCATTTGCTGTAGTTTTTCCAACTTTTTTTTCAAGTTATCAAAGAGGGAATTATGCAAATTTGCTTTTTGTTTCTCAAACTGATTCTTCTCTTTCTGAAGGTCAATATAATAGAAGCACTAGGTGTATCTCATCATTTATACTTCTGTAAAATACTTATCAGAAGCTATTCTTGATCATACTAATTATATTTAAATAGTTCATTAGCCTTTGGACCAAAACACACTTTGACACTAGATGAGCTCCTTTATCTAAATGCCACAACCAGACCTTTGAGGAAAATATACTAGATGTGGCTCGTCTACTAAAGTACTTGCTTGAATTCTTCTCCCTTTGTCTCGTCTTTTTCCCCCCCAGGGCATAATTAGTTAAAGGGAATGTTAATGTATGTTTGAAAATGTGCACATGTATACATGACATGTTATACTAAAAGAATGAGAGAATACATTTCACACTACAGAGGTAGTACTTTCAGGATTAACACGCACCGGTTTCGAAGTATTCCTCAGATCTTGCAGCTGCTTAGCTGGTTTCCCTACTCCTTCCTCAAACCTCTTCTCCACAACAGGAAGGACAATTTCATGAAGGAAAGATGCATTCTGCCTGATGAATGCTTTCTTCTCAGGGTCCTGTTCACAGCGTAAGCTGTAATCAACATGCTGGATGGCCACAAGGATTATCTCCACCAGACTTTCCAGCAGAACCATATGCAGCTCTGGGAAGTACAGTTTGAGAGCTTCCTCCAAGAAGGTCATGGTCTGTTTGGTGAAAGCCACAACAGTATAGCTAAGATTTACCCAGCAGTCATCACCAGTGTACTGATCAAAATTGGTCACACCACAGCTCTTCATCTCCTCTCTAAGTTTTCCTAAAGCTTCAGGGGTCATCAAGTTCATTCTCCTCCACATCTCTTCAGAGTTACGATGTTTTGTAGCCTCCATTATGATATCTTTGTAGCTCTGCAAGGCCCCTTTGATATCCTTCACTAGCAGGGTATGAATGATGAAGGTCAGATCCAAGCCAATCTCACTGAGCTGCTTGCAGTGTTCCTTTGCCACCTTCAATAACAAGTTACATGATTAATTTTACTACACCTTTAAGCAGTTGCACAACAGAGACACTCTAAAAGATAAGATAACTATCACCCCATTATGAACAGCACGAAAAACACGACATACATTCAGGGTTCGAAATGAGCAGGGCGCCAGGCACATTTTGTACCTTAAAGATTCTCCATCTGAGAGCACCTCAAAAAGTCAGGGTGTCATTTTTTGCGCCTGACTGACACTCGAGGATTACTGAAATATATGTGCTTTGAAGCCTCAAAGTATATGTTAAAGATAGACAATATGTTAAGGAGTTTAACAATAAAGAGTAGAGTGTTTTGAAAACTGAAGTATAGTACCAATATTTTTATTGTAAACACCAAATTAAACATGTCATTTCTGCTAAAAATGTGATATTAACAATGTGTCACTTATGTGAATTGTGTATTAATTCATGGTTATCAAAATATTAAATAAAAAGTGTTGCTGACCGCCCCCCGCCCAGTGGCAACTAGACATTCTGTTTTGGTGCCCACAATCCAGGTCCCAGAAGGCATTTGGCTCCTAGATTTTCTATCCGAGTTTCTAACACTATATACATTATGGAGAAGATATGACCCAGCATTAATCCTTACCATTCTGGCCCTCAGAAATAGGCAGTCTGTATCCCAGAGTGGGAAACATTTGTTATCCAGAGGGTTGCATCCCCTTGTGAAGAACCTTTTGGGGAGTGTCATATGCCAGTGATGTGCATGGCAAGAGACAAAAGGGCCCGAGCAATGGCTGTGACCCTTACTTTTGTATAGTAAGCTGCAACCCAACAACACAAAACTTGGCGATTCTACACATCTCTCCATCCAGGCAAGCAGGAGGCATTGTCAATACAGTCATACCTTGGGTTACAGATACTTCAGGTTGTGTGTTTTCGGACTGCACACCACGCCGAACTCGGAAGTACCGGAACGGGTTACTTCTGAGTTCCAGTGCTTTGCACATGCACAGAAGCGTGACCTGCGTGTGCACAGACGTGGCACTGCGGGTTGCAAACACTGCAGGTTGCAAACGTGCCTCCCGCATGGATCATGTTCGCGACCTGAGCATCCACTGTAATACATTTCTACCAGGCAAAAGCATTTAAGGAGGATGTGGAGCAGAGCAGGTAAGGAGTATGGCCTGCAAAAGGGATATGGCTTAAAGAGAGTCCAGAGACACCTGGAGGTCACAAGCAGACCCTGGACAACAGGTTCACTACCCTTGCTATATCACATTGGACAGAGCAGCAGGTAACACAAGGTTATCCAGGCTGTCTCTTTCCTGGCAGGATAGGATCAGCCACAACCGTCTCCTTCACCTAGATAAAGCAAAGACATGAGATCACCTTTTCCCACTAATCAGGGCAGCTCACTGGAGGAGCAGGTTGCGGAGCAATTCTGTCCAGGCAAACTTCTTCAAACTTGGGTAAAAGTAATTGCTCAGAACACATTTACCGTATTTTTCGCTCTATAAGACGCACCAGACCACAAGACGTACCTAGTTTTTGGAGGAGGAAAACAAGAAAAAAAAATTCTGAATCTCAGAAGCCAGAACAGCAAGAGGGATCGCTGCGCAGTGAAAGCAGCAATCCCTCTTGCTGTTCTGGCTTCTGTGATAGCTGCGCAGCCTGCATTCGCTCCATAAGACGCACACACATTTCCCCTTACTTTTTAGGAGGGAAAAAGTGAGTCTTATAGAGCAAAAAATACGGTATTTATTTACTGCATCTCTGTTCCACCTTTTTCTCTAAGGAGCTCAAGGTGGCATACATGGTTTTCCCCCTCCTTTAATCCCCCACAGCAGCCTGCCCACTACTGCTCCTAGTGTATTTGGGACTGCCACATGATTAGGGCAGGAAGCGGGTGTGGGCACCTACACTCCTCACTGTTTTTGCTGGCTGTAGGAAGGAGGCACCTTGGATATCCAGTACAGACTGCCTTTTCCTGAAAAACAAGTAACAACTCCGGAAGGTCTCAATGCCCAAATATAGCAAAAATATACTTTGATCAGATAGACAAAATCTGTAAAGTCATGCCACACGACTCGCCCTTTCTTTTGTTCCTAATCTTAAAGTGGAAGGGCTCCTTTACGCTGGAAGAGCAAGAAATGCTTGTGTTGCTCTCCTTTAGAATTAAGCAAAAAGCACTCTAACATTATAAGAGAGTTGAAAAGGGAGAGAGGCTCCAAGTGATGGGGAATGTGGAGTACAGGATAATCAATGCAGCTACTGCAATAAATTATTTACACAGCTTCTTTACAAAACAGAACACCCTGTTTCAGGACTGGGAATTGGACTAAATGACTCACTGGTTTCCTCCTTGCCCTATATTCTATGACATTATCTGGAAAACTGAAGTAGTTATAAGAATGAAATTGTGGTCATCCAGTGCATGTGTGACAGCATAATACACCCACATTTGGGTCTATATTTTCCTCATACCTTCACACACTCGGCAGCAGTGGATAAGCTCTCCTTACTGTCAAACACCTGCTTGCTAAATGCATCCACAAACATCCTCATAGCAGATCGGGCCCAGACAACAAAGGCAGAATAACATCCACTGTTGCCTGCAAAGTCTGTCTCGAACTCCCTTGCAGTCTCTAACAGGCTGGTGAAGAAGACATGGCAGAGCTTGTGAATATACAGCAGAGTGGCACCTTCAATGCGCAACTGGCGGATGGCTGTGTGTACTGCAGCTTCCCTGTTCCTCAAGAAAAGTTCACATGCTTTGGTTGATTGACCCAAGCGGATGAGCTGAGAAACAGCTCGGCGGGTAGCTCTAGGCCCACCCCGTAGAGACCTATCTGGAGAAAGTTCAAACACAAGCACATCCGTGAGCTGTCGGACTCTTTCGTCCACTTTTGTTCGTAGTTCCCTGACTGGCTGGGTCACAGGCTTATCTCCCAGGTACTCATTCAGTTTATCTAGCAAATCAACTGCCCCTTCAAAGTCTCTCTGAGCGATGCAGACATCCAGATCCTCAGGCAGCTCCTGAATCCATTCTAGGGACAAATCCACCACTTCTTCTTCTGGTGTTGCCTCCTCTTCATCCTCCTCCTCAAAAGGATTGGTGGCTTCTGGAGGGGAGGGGGGAGGGGCCCGCACTGGGGCCTCCTGCTCCAGCCGCCGCTTCTCACTGAGGACCCGATTCCTCTTGGTCTCCTCCAAGACTTCCAGCCACTCTTTCTTGATCTTGGCGTTCTCCGCTTGGAAGATACGGCTCTCGGGGAACATGAGCAGCTTGAACATGTCCTTCATGGGCGGGTTGTCCTTGACGTTGACCACCGCCAGCCCATCCAGCGGGTAAAGGGCATCGTACCGGTACGCGCCACGCCGGTTGGGGAGCCACGCCGCCACGAGCAGGCAGTCGTTCATGAGGAAGGCGTGTACCCTCTGGACCTGCACCATGTGGTCGGCATCATACTCCACGAGGTCCCCGTTGTAGACCAAGTACTTGCCGGGGCTCTCCGGCAGCAGGTCGCGGCAGCCCTCCACCTTCTCCAGGAGGGTGGTGAGGGTGCGCTGGCGGCCCTCGTCGCTGGCAGCGTTGTCTTTGGCCGAGAGGGCCAGGAAGGGGTTGGTGTGGGGGTCGGCGGCGGCCCGCCGGGCGCCCCCCAGGGTCGGGTCGTCTCGGTCGGCGGCGCTGGCCTGCTGCAGGAGGGCCTGCGTGACGGCCTCCATGATGCCCTTCTGCTCGGTGAGGATGTGGCTCAGCTGGTACATCTCGCTCTCCAGGTAGCTGATCTCGCGCGCCGTCTCGATGAACTGCCGGTAGTTCTGGTAGACGTTGCGCTTGAGGCTCTGCGCCGTCTCCTCGCTCAGCGCCTGGATGCGCTGCCGGTGCTCCTGCAAGTCCCGGTCGCCGTCCGACTGCTGAGACAGCTGCTTCACGTACTCCTCCGCCGCGTAGCTGCCGGACTCCAGCTGCCGCCTCAGACGGCTCCCGCCGCCGCCCGCAGCCCCCTCGCCCACAGACAGCGCCATGTCCGAACCGGAGCAACGAGAGAGCGGAGCGAGGGGCAGAGAGGAAGCAGGCCAGCGCCAAACGCCTAGCCGCCAGAGCGCCTGCGCCGGACGCTGACGACCTCGCGAGCGCGACGGAAGAGAGAGGGCGTGGAGCGGCCGGCGCCACGGCGAACCAGACCCAGCGAGTAGAGCTACACACGGGGAGGCACTTCCGGGCTTAGCGGGACCCCGCGCAAGCGCGTAACGAAACCAGAATGGCTGGGGATGGATGGAGGGGGAGGAGGGAGGCGCGCCTCTGAGCTCCTCCTAGGGCAAGTTGTGTGGCGCATGCGCCCGAGTTTGAAGAGTTCGCGACCGCCGGCTGGCTGGCATCCTGCCTGGGCGAGATGGACGGCGACTTCTTGCTGGCCCTCCGGCTGCAGGCGGAGTGGGAGGCAGAGGACGGGGAAGCTCAGGGGGCCAAGGCAGTGGCCGCCGCCGCCTCCCCTGCCGCCTCGCCCGGTTCCCCGGCGCGGCCGCTCTCCGTCGTGGACAGCGCCTGGGAGCTGCTGGACCCGAGCCCCGACGTGCGAGGCCTCTTCCTGCAGTTCAACGAGACCCTCTTCTGGGGCCGCCTGGCAGCCGTGGAAGTGAAGTGGAGCCCGCGCATGACGCTGTACGGGGAAGGCGCTGCGGGACGAGGGAGAGGCGGCTCTGAATCGCCCTGAATGTTGCCCTTAAGGCTGTTGTTACTCGCTCTGGGACCGGGGGGGGGGGGGGAGGCGGGTAACAAATGATAAAAAAATCATGATAATAATAGTGGTTTTTTGTTTGCTAAAAATGTTTAGGGGTACTCTCATTTTGACTCAAGAGACTTTGATCTAGTTTTGGTCTTGTTCCAGGTGGCATGAGCCCTGTATTCACAAGCACAGTCAGAAAACAGCTTCTCTGTACAGTGGTACCTCAGGTTAAGTACTTAATTCGTTCCGGAGGTCCGTACTTAACCTGAAACTGTTATTAACCTGAAGCACCACTTTAGCCAATGGGGCCTCCAGCTGCTGCCGCGCCGCCGGAGCCCGATTTCTGTTCTCACCCTGAAGCAAAGTTCTTAACCTGAAGCACTATTTCTGGGTTAGCGGAGTCTGTAACCTGAAGCGTATGTAACCTGAAGCATATGTAACCTGAGGTACCACTGTATTTGTATACTGTGTGTGGGCTCCTGGTGCTTGTTTACAACTTGAGGAGCATGTTGTATTCTGTCTTTTATCTGACCTTTGTGAGAGATGCAGTTCTTAAAGGAGAGGGCGAGTTGTGACCCCCCAGATATTGCTGTATCCTGACAATTCTCCATGCTGAATGAAACTGGAATCCAACAATATGTGGAGGGCCGCAGGTTTCCTGCAGTGCATGGTATCACAAATTAAAAAATCAATAACTTGTTATGTCTCCTAGCATACTTGCTGCAGTGTGATGACATTATTTGTAAACTAAATATTCTAACCCGAATTGTAACAGAATTGGAGAAAGTGCCTGCTTTCTTACCTCTCAGGAGGTCTAGTCCAGCCACTAGCAGTGGGCACCTAATGTTTAATAAAAGTACCTAATGCTTAGCGAGTATTGTTTGTGTCTCAGTAAACAATTTGCCTTTTTTATTTGTATTTCTAGGTGTGCTGGAGTTTGCTGCTATGAAGGCCGTGGTGGAATGTGCTCCATCCGGCTCAGTGAACCACTTTTGAAGTTGCGACCAAGAAAGGATCTTGTAGAGGTATTCCTGTTTTGTATATAGATATGAACCCAAATACGTGCATTTCTTGCAGCTATGTGCATTTCTTGCAGCTGATATGTACATTCCCAAAGTCAAATGTATCTTGTAGTTTTGGAAAAAAACATGTTTACCAGTGCTGTAAATAGCTATCTTATATTGCAGCTACTTCTGCAAAGACAGGAGAAGCAAGCAGCTCCTTGCTGCTTGCAGAGACTTCTCCATCCTCTCATGTCCTTTAGTGGTATTTTTTACCCATTATTTCCACTTATAATGTGAATGTCTCCTTGAAATATTGTGTTTATTTCTCACAACATATTTCTATGTGATACCAGCATAGGGTGCAGTAATATAAATTAAAATCAACCGATACAATTAGAAGCCTAAAAATAAAAGGAACAGATAAAATCACACCAAAAGATAAAATCACAGCAATCGATCAAAATCTAACTGTGTGGTCGACCCCCACTCCCCCTGAAATGTCTGGTGGAATAGGTGTGTTTTCAGCTGATCCCCAAAACTGTTCTGTGTTTCAAGGGGGAGAGTATTCCATAGTTGGACTGCCAGTACAGAATAAGCCCTCTTTGCTGCATAACAGGTGCCCCTCAGATGCATACTGTAACAACCAGAGAGGCATCAGCTGCTGATCTTAACTCATGGAAGTATTGGTGTGGGAGGAAACAGCCCTTCAAATGTCTGTGTCCCAAATTATGGTTTTATGAAGCTGGGATCATGTCTGACTTATCCCAGAGAATGGAAAACTGGAAGCAAGAAGATTTTAAGGTTTATTTTTTAATTAACTACCATTTCTTATCATAGCGAACTTAACAGTAAGTAATCAAATGTTTTATGTTAGGACATAGTAATTTAAGTAATCATGTAATAATTTTAATTTCAGACCCTGTTACATGAAATGATTCATGCCTTGTTATTTGTCACTAATAATGACAAAGATCATGAATCCCATGGCCCGGAATTCTGCAAACACATGCATCGGATAAACCGCCTAACTGGAGCCAATATTACAGTAAGCATTCTGTGTAACAAACACTAGTTTGTAGATTTGTAAAACTGATTTTGGAATATAAAATGAATCTTTTAAATGTTTAGATTTAAAAGATACTGCGACAAACAAGCACACTAGAGTCAGTGGTTACTTTGACATCGGTAAGTTTTGCCATGTAAAATCAAATATATCAAGCTAATCACCAGATTTCTTCTGATTTTGATAAGGTGTTAACTGCACTTTTTGGCCATAATCCAGAAAACTTGAATTAGCATAGAGAATCTCTGGTGTGTACTCTGGCTTGGTCCAGACACTGCAGCCATATCATGGTTTAGCTGTCAGGAGCATTCTCCAGGCTCTCTCCTTCTGTATCACTAATGAATGGTGATCCCTTCTCCCTCTTCCTGCTTTGTTGTAACTAAAGTGCAGTGTCACAGGCGGAAGGCCACACTCCAGAGTTGCACTCTGGGAAAGGCATTTGGAAGCCGCCCTGAACATCTTGGTTAAAGCGACTTTTATTATAAATGAGAGAATATGTTTTCTCCAGCGTACAATACCCTTCCGAGACTGTGCCCTTTCTTGTACAATAAAAATCAACACTGCTGCCCTCTTCCCCAGTTAAGTCCCTTATGGTGCTGTGGTGTTGCTTGGGTTTCCCTGTGAGGCAGTGCTCTCTTGCTGCTCCCCTGGCATTGCAGGCTGCCAGAGACTCCTGCACCTTACAGCCATTCTGTCCTCCACAGCCACTCCCAAACAGTGTTAGAAACTGAGATATGAAAGCTAGGAGCTAGGACATGTATTTTTTCCTCAGTAGCCCACCATTCCGTCTCTTCTCCCCCTAACTACCCCAGCTTTCTCCACGTTCCAATTCCCCTGGCAAAAGTAGCCAAGAGTGAGATTTTTACTTACCTTCAGGCGAACAAGCCTTATTAAATATATCAAATCCAAAACAGAAACATTTTTTAAACCGCCCCCCCCCCTTACTAAGCCCCATGAATCATTTACCACAGCAGCCTTCCCCAGCCTGGTGCCCTCCAAATGTTTTGGACAACACTACTTAGTACGTCTGGCTGGGATTAGTGAGATATGTAGTCTGAAACATTTGGAGGGCACCAGGTTTTGGAAGGCCTCCATGGTGTGATGTGTGAGTTGGGAAAATTGTGGTTATTGTTAATCATAACTTTCAAATAAAAATAAAAAACTATGGTTTGGAATGGGTTTAAGATTCTGATTTGGATGCAAATGTTGTTAACAATAACCATCGTTCGACTGCTTCAGACATTACAGCAAACTCTGAATATCGCAAGACAGGAAATGAGCATGTGTCTCTGTAGAACTGAACATACAAGCCCCTGAATACCTCCAGTTGCCAAACCATGGTTTGGCCTTGATATTTGAAACAGACCACAGAATTCTGGTGTTAGTAGATACTGTTTGATTTTCTTCTGTGTTTGGGGCCAGCTCCAATATCCATGTGGAACTCTTGCCTGTAGTGACTTGGGAAGCCCTGGTTGGCCTGATTCCATCAATCTTCACGGTGGGCTGTGAGTTAATCTGGTGTCACCGCAAAATGGAAATGAATGTTCTGCATTAAGAAAAACTTGTTGGTTATGTTTAGATCTATCATGAGTTTCATGATGAAGTGGATTCCTATCGCCAGCACTGGTGGCGATGCAATGGTCCATGTCAAAATAAAAAGCCGTATTTTGGCTATGTGAAGCGTGCAATGAATAGAGCACCATCTGCAAATGACTTCTGGTGGGCTGAGCACCAACAGACGTGTGGAGGTACATATACCAAGGTCAAGGAGCCAGAGAACTACACCAAGAAAGGCAAAGAGAAGGTCCCACAATCAAAATTCCTAGCTGATGGCAAAGGTACTTGAATATCATTTAGTTATTACCAGCAGAGGATGATGATGTTATTACCAGCATCATAACTGTTTTTCATCAGTTAATATTTGAGGGTGGTTTATAGCATAAACCAAAGGGTACATAACTAAAAGTGTTAAGCGGGGGAAAAGATTTTTCTGATGAATGATCGCTCCTAGAGATGTAATAGAGTACTGCTGGTGAATGTTTTCCAAATATGTGATTGTTCTGTGTATTTCTGACGTATTTGCAGGAAACGCTAACAGAGACAATATGCAGAACCTAATTCCTTTTAGTGGAAAAGGATATATCCTTGGAGGAAAAAGCACTCTGTCACCATCAGAGAGGACCACAAGTCCAAGCAATGATAAGAACAGATTGCTGCTCAGTTCGCAACATCATTCACCTTCTGGTTTGATAAGATCGAATCCTCAAAATGCAAGCATATCCTCACCATTTCCTTCTGAAGGTGATAAGAATAGCTTTGCTTCCTATGTTACACTCCCTAAAATATCAGTTGCTAACAAAAAAGCGTACACTAATGTTAATGGCTCGCCCATTAAACATGTTTCTTTTAATGGAGGAAGATCAAAGTCAAGCCCTATAAATGTTACATGGGACTTACCCTCGAAGACGACACCAGTAAAAAGCATTTCTGGACCATCTACTTCAACTCCAAAACCCCATAGTTCATCTCATAGAAATAGCAGCACACCCAGTGGTGGACCAACAAAACGGGCAAAAATGGAAGACACTGCTGCCTTTGAAAAATACTTTATACAAAAAACAGATCCAGAGTTGACCAGCCCTTCTTTGAAGAGAAAGCATGAACCAATAGCTTCAGAAAGGCCAGCTACTTCTGCCAGTGATGAGAACAGAAACGTTTCCTGCCCTGTCTGCAGTTCTGAAGTTTTGGAAGCTAAAATTAATGAACATCTAGATTCCTGTCTCCAAGATACCTTAACATGATTCTGACATTAAGACGGTGCTTTGCTCAGGGGTTATCAATCTTGAGTGTTTCATGTGTATTTATTGTCTTCCATATTTTGGTGGGAGTGGGGAGGGGACTTATGACATCTTCTTCTACGTGAAGGAAGTTTTCTTCAGCTTGGAATAGTGCTAGTAATGCCACCAACTTTCAGCACACATTTATAGCCATGAGAGAAACAAATTCTGTTCTAAAGCAGGCATAGACAAACTCAGCCCTCCAGATGTTTTGGGACTACAGCACCCATCATCCCTGACCACTGGTCCTGTCAGCTAGGGATGATGGGAGTTGCTGTCCCAAAAACATCTGGAGGGCCAAGTTTGCCTATGCCTGTTCTAAAGAAAGAAACATGCATGGTTTTTAACTGACTTATTTTTAAAAGCCTATTCACTCGTTCAGAATACCTGTTTGTTTTATCTCAAAAACTACTTTCAAGCCTGTTTTGCAGATTACTGTTTTTGAGCCATTTAATATCAACGGAATACAAAATGTGTGTGAAATCGTATACTTCCACCTTTGCTTACATTTGAATCAGACTTAATTTCCTGGAAGCGACACATTTTATTATAATAAATAGAGATGGTTAAAGCTGCACTCATGAGAAGTTTTCACAGAGCTTTAAAATGTTCTAGGAGGGAGGGTTAAGTCTCCAGATTGTGGCACTGTCCCTAAAACTGTTCATTGGCCCATCTCATTGTTATATATGCTGCTAATATGTCTGAAGATTATGGGAAGTGTTTTGTGAGAGAAGATGGGATAGATGAAGTAGGACAAATACCTTCATATATTTGAGGAGCCATATGTGACATAATGGTTTATATCCTCAGGCTGTCTGAAACAGATGAGATACATCTAATTCTGGAATCGGATTGAGATCTCACAACTTTTTAAGTGATATAGAAGAGCAGTTTGCTGTTCAAAAGCCTCCACTTCCTAGAGTTCAGTTTTGTTCCAATAATTTATACATTCAGCAGGAAAAATGGCCTGTTGTAATGTTGATAGAGATCTGGGATGTATTATCCCTCTGCTTCATGCCATTCTGGTTATGTTCATTTCTGAGCCCCAAGTGTCAACATGATTGCTTGTTGACAATTAGGATGTTCCATTTTTACCCCCCAATGGTTGAATTTGGTCAGATATCTCTTTTCACAAGCCAGGAGGTCTCCTTTTCATCTATTAGGTACATGTGTGCCTGTAAATGAAGCTTTCAATTACATTGTATCTTGTGTTGAGCATTTGACAGCCAACTGATAAATTTTAAATAAAAATAACTTTTCAGAAACAGCACTTGAAATTCAGGGTTCTGTTCTATAAAAGTGGGCTAGAAATTCCAAAATCTGCCAATTCTAAAGGTGCTGGAAAATTCAGTGCAGGTTAACGGAATTCAGTATTGTTTAATGTATTATTTTCACTGTGTTTAAAGAGAATTAACACCACATTGTTATTGTGGTGATTCAGACTATATATTCAACTGGTAACAAGTATCCTGCAGATGCAGACCACACTGTTTCAGTGATTTGATGTGATGTTCTGTGATAGACTTTTTCTTAATCAGTAAAGTAACAAGAGACATCTGATCTCAGTGATCAGCATGGTCAAGCATCTGTCCATGTGCCTGCAAATACCCCGCCACTGACTGGAGCTCCTGAAACTGAGTACTAGTGGCAAGGAGGAGAAGGAGCAGCAGCTACCATCTTATTGCTGCTCAGCCAGCAGTTATTTCACCAGGCTGTTCTGTTATGCCTCTTGTCATTGCCCAAGAGACTGAGAAGTGGCCTTCAACAATGAGGAGAAGCAGCAGCAAACACATTGATGAAATGGCTCCTGGATAGGTGAGTGACAGCTGAGGAGAGGAGAAGGTCCAGCAGCTACTGCCAGTGAGCGGGTGAGGATCTATGGTCTTGGCCCCACTTTTAGGGGATATGTTGCCTGAGTATCTTCAAGTCATCAGACCCAGTACTAACCAAAAGTTAGTAAAGGATTTCCCTCACTGAACTAATCAGCGCTTTAGATTTGAGAAGCCTTGTGCTATTATCAGGGCAATTAAAAACAAAACAAAAAACCAGTGCAATCTCCAAGCTTTGAGGGAAATACTCCAAAAGACCTCATTTAAAATTGCTATGTCCTGTTAGGGTTCCTGTGTTCCAGTTACTTAATTGTGGAGCACAGCAAAAACCTGTCCTTCTCAAGGAATGCAAGCGGTAGCAAATGCAAGTTTAATTTTTGTGCACTTTATAGTAAACTAAACATGGGTGATGGTTGCAACTAGTTGTGTGTTTTTTTTACCAAAACATCTTTTAATATATAATTAAGAGCAATAGAGGAGGGTTCACCCTTCATTTATCCCACATGCCAAATAGGCAACTATCTTTAAAAGTACTGTTCTGTGGCTATCCTTCGTGATACTGACTGTGCAAATCAAAATATTAAGCAGAACTTAAAGCAGGCACTTCTTGTTTAACAAGTTATGCAAGAAACACTCAAGATTTGTAGTCTGAGAGCATATGAGACTTGTCACGAGATTTTAGTGAGTACTGTGCAATTTTGTGCATTCAGACTGAGCTATAGAAATCCACATTTCTCTGATTAAAAGCACTAATCCAGCGGTTGCAAACATGGCAACAATGGATCTAAAGGCTAGCATCTCCAGTTCTAATCCTTGCAAGATCTAGGCTGCTTGCACATTTTTTAAAAAAAAGATGGTTTGTCTAATGCAGAGGTTTCCAAACTTTTCATGTTGGTGACATGCTTTTTAGACGTGCATCATTTCACGGCACAGCAATTCAGTTTTACTAGCAAACCAGAGGTTAATAAACCCCTCTCCAGCCTAGGTAGGAGCTTTGGGACCGTTCATATGGCAGACCTACACACTGCAGCCAACACACTAATGTGTTGCGACACACAGTTTGGAAAGCTCTGGTCTAATGAATGGTTAAGGAGAGTTAGGAAGCATGGAACTCTGGAGGGACAATAGTTACACAGAAGTAAGAAAGTGTGAGCACAATGCCTGATACCTCCTACTAAATTGGTAAACCTTATCAAGAATAGGCAATACTTGGAGGCAGTGTGGTATGTTCTTTCTCTCTTTTTTAAGCCAATGACTGGCTGGAAAATTTGCTTTTACAAAAGTGGGATTGAGGAAGATACCCTGTTGCGTGTTCAGGACCATACTGTGGGGATGCGGTATCAGGAATGTCTAGTCTCCCAGAACAGGTAATGAAAGAAGTACTCAAGAAAAAGGAGAATTGTTTTATTTCTTTACAATATATGCCCCCTTTTTGCCTGACAGTAGGCCTCCTAACAGTCCAGTAAGCAAATTAATCATAAGAGATTAATGGTGTAGGGGTTAAGAGCGATAGACTCGTAATCTGGTGAACCGGGTTCGCGTCTCCGCTCCACATGCAGCTGCTGGGTTACCTTGGGCTAGTCACACACTCCTTTGAAGTCTCTCAGCCCCACTCACCTCACAGAGTGTTTGTTGTGGGGGAGGAAGGGAAAGGAGAATGTTAGCCGCTTTGAGACTACTTCGGGTAGTGATAAAGTGGGATATCAAATCCAAACTCCTCTTCTAATAAACACGTCTTTTAAAAAAAGGCATTCGCTAATGGGAAATCTCCACTCTCCAAACCTTACATGTTGCTGTTTTAGTAGGGCTAGAGTGAAACAAGGGTAGAGTATTATTTATCTAGTTTTGCTGTTATGCAGCATTGCTCAACACTTCTGACTTCCTTAAACTGCCACTAGATGGTACTCTACTCAGGGCAGAGCTTAAATTTGAAAATGAACTTTACAAAAAGAGAATTTCCCATTAGTACTGTATACAAAACTTCGAATGTGTGAACATGTGCACATGCAGAAACATGTAGGTTAGAAAATTCAAGGAAATAAAACGTTAAAAGCAAGGTATTGAGCCAGTAACTGATGCATCTAAACATGATGCATCCACTACTCAAAGAGGCAGTGTGGGAGTTCTTCAGACTGCCCTGTACCCATGTAGCCCATGTGACTGCATAAGATCGTGTTTCCTTCCCATATATCAGGAGTGGGCTGCCTGTGAACCTGGGCCTAATTCAGACCTGAGGCAAGAGTGATCTGTCCCTGTCCTGGCATCCTGCTGGGCAAGGAGGAACAGAGATGGATAGGGGAGAAATAAAAGTGGGTGGTCGTGCTCATAACTAGCATGTGGCCCCTGACAGGGGGACCTCCAAGGAAAGGTGGCCCTTGAGAGAGGGAGGGAATTGCCTGCGCCTAGGCTATAAAAAGCTCCCTTGACTACACTGATTCCCTCTCACCTGGGAGAGCTGTCTCAACAGGCACCATATCTTGAGCTGTGTGTTTTGTTTTTAATCTGAATATGCAGATTGTTGGGAGATAAAGTACAGTGTCCTTGTTTGACTATTGTACAGCCTCCAAAAGTCAAGCTATTTGCTAGGCGCTGAAACAGCTAGCTTCTCAGCCTTTGGGGGTGTTTTAGATGAACATACATACTGCACTTGTGTCGGGATGACTTGGCTATCAGAAATAGATCTTATTTGTCAGGAACAGAGCTCTGTTTTCTGTGCAAATGGGAGGAAAACTACCTGACAACTTTCTTAAGTAGAACTAAACAGTACGAGAGACTCTGGATCAGGCGGAGGGTCCATCTGGTCGAACATTCTGTTCTCTCATCCAAAATGAGTTACTACACAATGTAATTCCCATTCACCATTTATATAAGAAATATTTCAAAGATCTGATAAAAATTACCAAAGCAACTACTAAATTACTAAAATGAAAATGCATAAAACCTATCCATATACTGTATATGTCTATATGTCTGTCTGTCTGTCTGTCTGTCTGTCTGTCTGTCTCTCTCTCTCTCTCTCTCTCTCTCTCTGTGTGTGTGTGTGTGTGTGTGTGTTATTGAAAGAAGGAGAGATAAAACACCATTTTGACAGAATGCAGAATTGCAACTCCAGGAAATCAGAAAAGCAGTATTCATATATCATGCAGGTATAAAGCAGCCTTCCTTAGTTTATGCAACATATGCAAGGACAGGATTGTGAGAGTGAGGGCTGAAAAGATTATGGAGATGATACTGATTAAAAGCATGAGACTCTTAATCTCAGGGTTGTGGGTTCCAGCCCCAGGTTGAGGGAAAGAGTTCTGCATTGCAAGGGATTGGACTGGATGATCCTCGTGGTCCCTCCCAACACTACATTTCTACAATACTTCAGTCACCTTGTTATCTGGGAAGCAGTCGAAACTGGTTATCCCCAGTGAAAACAAGATGAGATTATATGTACATTGTGCTACTTGACTGGATATGACTCTCAGAGTAAAAGGTGTCAATAAGAGTCTCTTTCTTAAGATCCCATTCTATCTGTCAGAATGGCTACTATTAGGTTGCACCATTTCACGCTTGTGTCTCATGTGTGGAGCATCCTACATGGAGTCCTGGCCAGGAAGCTCCTTCTCATTATTCTGTTTTGCGCTTCTGATCTCTAGCCTTGACTCTGGCTTCCTGTGCCAGAGTCAAAAACTCTCTTATGTGTGTCAAACCAAAAGAACTTGCTGGCAACACCCAGGAAGGTTTGGGTGGTAGTGGTGGTGTATGGGCAGAGCCTTCTCTGTGGTAACTTCCTGCCTGTGAAGTGACTTCTCCTCTGAAGTGGAGGATTATTATTTCATCAACATTTGAAGAAGCATCTCATTAACCCAAGCCTTGGGGAGGGATTGACCTTTTAACCATTCACTTTTTTTTTTTTTTTAACACATCCTTTTACTGCTGTGGATGTTCAGTCTTTTATCATTGTAGCATTTTATAGTGTCTGTGTTAAGATATTATGTGACATATTTGTTGCCCTGAAAACGTATGATGAAGGGAATAAAATAAAATAAAATAAAATAGGTAACCACAACATGATTCTCTTCCATTAGGTGAGGGATAGAGGTCTGGTTTAACTATTAGCTAGACTCTCCAGTTTCCATGCTCAACCACAAAACTCACTGGGTGATTTCCAACCAGTCACTCTATTTTAGCCTTACCTTCACCATTAAGTTGTCATTATGAGGATGAGGTTGGGGAAAGAAGTATCCATGTATGGAGGCTGCTCTGAGCCCTTTGGAAGGATGACATCATTAATGCCAAGCCAAAACAGTAAGAGAAAAATATTTGAAGAAACTTGAATACTTTTGTTAATTTTGAATCATTTGAGGACTTTAGGATTTTTGAGATGTCCCTTCCAACTCTACAATTCTATGACACTACTTAGGCCTTTGCTTCTATTAGGCTAAGACCCCTCATACTCGTAACCTAGACAGCCCAAAAACCTGCTTTATGGAGACGGATATGCAAGACAGTCTCCCTGGACAGCTTTGGGGTTTCTCCTCCCTTAAGATATAGGCTTGGTGGTCTGTGGTGACAGTTAACAGAACAGGGAGTCAGGTGGGCCAGCAGCGATCATGATCTGTGATAACTCCTTTCAGTCGTTGTCGCCCACCGTATTCTTTCTCTTTTTTTAATCAACAGAAAGAAGGGAAATGAAAATGAAAATTTACCCACCACAGGATATGATGAATACGACAGAAACTGACCCAGGGCAACTCATACTAAGAACATTCCAGAACCAGGCCTGGGCAAATGAGACAGTTGGCATGGCCTTTCTAGAAAATCCATTCACAAGGAAGCGTTTTTATTTTCGTAGATTCAGGCTCTCCCTGAATGCATCAGCAGGAAATGCGGAAACCAGTTTATTTCCCCCAAGGTAAGCTGATTTGCATGCCAGAATAGTAAGACTGGCACGGCGTGTTCAGATTCTACAGCAACTTTCCCTCCAATAGCTGAAAGGCAGGGAGAAACTTGGCAAGCGCTGCTTTTTCCCACCACTGAAGTGCTGTGATCTTCCACACCTGGGAAACCTCTCCCTGCCAGCCTCAGACTTCTTGGAAGAATGCAAATGTTACATAAGCACCATAAGCACTAGGCAGGCCTCAGGTTTATGGGGGCTACTTTGGTTTTGAGTAGACTCCCAAGGCCTATGAACCAGAACCAGGTCCCATCAAGTATCTGGGGAGAGAAGCAAAGATAAAACAGGAGTTCTGAGCGCAGAGTCAAGTAGCTTCTGCATCCCATGAGCCTTTCACTCAATGACTTGTGTAACATACTCCTTGCTCAGGGCCAGTCGGCCCATAAGGCAGGTGAGGCGACTGCCTTGGGGCAGCAGATCCAACCTCCAAGGAACACATTGCCTGCTGCTGCTGTTGTGGTGGTGCCAGCAACAGCTGCAGCTGCTCCTTGGCTCCTCTGAAGCCGCCATTTGCTGCCTCCATAGCAGCCTCTTGGCGAGGAGGAGCCTCATTGGCCTCTTTCCACCTGGTTCCCCATCTTGATCCTTATCCAACTCCTCCCCCCCCCCGCCCCAGTTCCTGATGTAGATCTTCCCAGCAGGGTGGGAGACGCCATTTTGTGGTTTGCCTAAGGTGCCAACATGTCTTGGACTGCTCCCGTTCTCACTTTCCTATTTTCCAGCTACAAGTGCCACTGCTAAGTGTACGCAAAACTGTAGCACCTATGCGGAAGAGACTGGTGTTACGTTTTGCTTAGGGAAATCCCTGGGGTTTGCAGAAGCACAATGAATCCTTTTTTTCGGGGGAGGGACTCCGAAAACAGTTCGAATAGGACTGAGCATGCCAGTGGCGGCAGAATGCTGGTTGATGGATTGATTGGGAAACCAGGGGAGGGGGATGGAATGGCTGGAATCCCCAACATGACATGCTACAACATTTTGTTGCAGTTCCCACTTGCATAAGTATAAAGAATCTACCTTGGAGTTATTACAGATCAGGGTTTCAGTTGTTGCTATTGTTTACATCAGGCATGGCCAAACTGTTTTGGGACTACAATTCCCATCATCCCTGACCACTGGTCCTGTTAGCTAGGGATGATGGGAGTTGTGGTCCCAAAACATCTGGAGGACCAAGTTTGGCCATGCCTGGTTTACATAGTTTGGAGTAAGAAACCCTTGCTGGTCTGCTTTACGTTATCCAGCCATCTATCTCCTGCCTACAATTACTGTACAGGTTGCTACATGACACTGTGCTACAAAGATCTTGGGAGACAGGGAAAGAGCCCTGTGACATGGTGACAGCCTTTTCAAGGCTGAAACAAGAAAGATGGCCTTGCTAATCCCCAAGAGACCAATGGAGCTGGGAGGGGAGAGTGGTTAAGATAAAAAGGCCATGAGGAAGACCAAAGCTGTAGACACACATTGCCTAAACACAGGGCGGGGTGTGTGTGTGTGTGTGCACGCGTGTGAGGAAGCAGATAGTAGGAATAAATGGGCGAGATAGAAACAGTCCTATCTTTTTAACCCTCATATGCTGCAAGGAACAGATAAGGGTATCCTGAGAACGTATCTCCAAATATGGAAATTATACAACTGGGGAGCCACGATCAAGAAGGCCCTACCACAAATCACTATGGGGTGTGCTGAGGTTAAGGACAGTAGTAACGGCAGGGTCTTCCCCCACAGATGTTAAGAGCATGGGCTGGCACATAAGGGGAGAGGTGCTCCTTCAAGTATCCAGGTCACAAGGGATTAGTGAGATGGGGTTATTTTGGCATTTCCCTTTGCGTGGCGCATGGGCATTTGGACAGGAAAATTCTAGAACCGGCTGACATAATAAAGGCTAACACATTGCCTGGTCCAGATCATATCTACCTATTAGTTCTTGGAGAACTCAAATATGAAACTGCAGTGCTCTTCAGATTATGCTGTACTGAGACAGAGGCTCAAAGAACTTGTGTACTGCATTCACACAACAAAGCTTTTCTTTATATTACTGTAGCTCCTCACATTCCCCTGAAAACCCTGTTCCTGACACATAGGAGATTCTTTGAAACAGCATGCAGTGCAGCTGGGTGGTGAAACCGACACTCCTCCATGAGAGAGCGTATGTGTCTTCTGCTCATTTAAAAGGCACTTGGTATCCAAGCATTTATTATTACCGAAAGGAAAGCTGCTTGAAGACTCAGGTTTTACTGTATTTTTCGCTCTATAAGATACACCAGACCACAAGACACACCTAGTTTTTGGAGGAGGAAAACAAGAAAAAAATTATTCTGAATCTCAGAAGCCAGAACAGCAAGAGGGATCGCTGCGCAGTGAAAGCAGCAATCTCTCTTGCTGTTCTGGCTTCTGGGATAGCTGTGCAGCCTGCATTCGCTCCATAAGATGCACACACATTTCCCCTTACTTTTTAGGAGGGAAAAAGTGAGTCTTATAGAGCAAAAAATACGGTAATTTGCGACTTTTTTATAATGTCTTACTGATGTTTTATTATCAATAGAGATTACCAAATGATAAAAAATAACAACATGAGTAGGAGATGCTTTAGCAAATAGATAAACATCAAGAAAAATTGTTATGAAGAGTGTCCAAATACAGTAAAGGACAAAAAAAAATTTTTTTTAAAAATTGCAGAAGTGTCAGAGAACCAGGTTTTACTCAAGGGTGGCTCATATCACCCCACAGAAAACAGCAGTGACAAGGCACAGCAGGTAGCTGTTAAAAGCAGGTCCTCATAATATCTTCTGACAAGTAAATGTTTTCCTTTGCTTCTAATCATGAGAAGGCAACCACGCAACGTGCAGTTTACACTGTGTGACAAAAACTCATTAGCAGAGGGAGAAGTTTCCTGCAACGTGGTACCACAGTGATTGAAGTCTTGAAACAATGCGTCTGACACGCTAAACTCAATCTATGGACATGCTCTAAATGCTTACCTAAACACCTAAAATTCAAGATGGTTATTTTCAGAAGGAAAAACACCTAGGTAGCCTTTCCACGTGACCAGAAAATAAAATGTTTGTATTGGTAATGCCAAGTTAGTACCAGGCTACAATTGACAGTCTTGTGTCGTCCGTCCCCCCCACCTTCTCCTTTAAAAACAATCACAGCTAGATAATTAAAAACAGGGTTTATAAATGAAACTAACAGGAGACCCTTGACTGCAGCTGCAATGTCACTGACTGCTAAAAACAGACAGACACACCCCATTATCAGTTTACTAATTAGTTGCTGTGTAGGAGGCTTTAAAAATATTACATAATTACAAATAACCACCACATTGTTTCAAGAACCTTTATACATCTTTTAATTAGATTAGCTTTACAAGCAACTTGAGAGCTCTTTCAGTAATGAACACTGCTTTTCAAAAGTTACATGACTTTATAAGAAATCTGCAAATTAATTCTGAATTTCTTTGCCTGCTAGATAAGTCTTGTGTTTTACAGCTGGCTAATGTCATGAAATAAAAATAGCATTATGAAGCTTTATCTTTAACCAGGACTAAACACATATACAGGCCATAAGACAGTTTAAAAATAGTCTGAAACAGGTTCCTGCTTGGTAACGCCCAAGGCTGAAGATTTAACTGACATGAACAGCTTCTAAATGGACATTAGAAGACCCAGATTGGTGACCTTTTGTAAAATAACCAACTGAGAGATTTAAGCACATTTTAAATCTTCCCAACAAGCACAAATGTAAGATGTTGATACTTTGAATAGAGGGACAAACAAACAAAAAATGTAAAGGCTTATTATGTTGTCCATGTCTAACACATTTAACATAATACAAAAGCAGTTAAAAGTTAGAAATGGTGTTTCTTAGGCCTAAAACAGTGCATTGCACTGCAGACCAGACAGTAGAGAAAATTTGCACTCCTTGGTCAGGCTTGCAGAGGCACTTACAGTAGACATGTTTTCTTCGGATTTACCAGGATTAAGAGAAAAACCAAACTGTTAAAAGTTTTGACAGCTAATCGTTTTAAAGGGGGTGGGGGAAACAAAAAAAACCCCAAAGACTTTTGCCAGATGTTCCCTTAGTATGCTATCACAATACTGAATTTCCCACCTTTTGTCAGTTGTCACTAAACGTAATCCTTTTTTTCATGTTTTACATGAATAGTAAGCTTTTTTTTTAATAAAAATTACTGAGCTTTCCATAGAAAAGGTCTCTAATACAAGTACAAACTATACAGATGCTGAAATAGGCAAAGTTGTACATACAGAAATATTTCTGTACACTCACATTGTTTTGGTTAAGTGAGGGAATCAAGGGATAAAATATGGAGCCTTTAAATGGGGAGGCTCGTGTTTGTAAGGCTGCTAGAACTCAGAAGCTTCCCTCCAAGGGGTTACTTTTGAGCACAAACCAATCCCTTCAAAATAAAACATTTCAAAATATCTGGTTGCATTAATTTTATTCTCTATTGCTTCCTCACTTAAAAGTAATTTAGTTTTTCCTTGTCAAAAACATTTTCGTATTGATCAGAGGCCAATGTTATTTTGGGGAGAAAAATTCTCAGCAGTAGGAAAATATTTACATATTAAGCCTGCAGTGATGCACTTCAGTCTTAATGCATTAAATATACCCCTTGATAGTATATAAGGGGATCAAGGGACCCAACTGCAAATGAGGATACTACTGCTTTGGGGGGAAATCTCTGAAGTTTCATGACCTTACCAAAAAACGTAGCAGAAAGTAAGCTTTTGAAAACAAGTCAAGATTGAGATCTCCCATTAAAGTAGTAGAAAGGACGTTGGTGCACCTAAAAGCCTAGGAAAGCCCTTATGTTCTAGGGATTTGATACTTATGGGCAGAGTCCACCTGGCACTTCATCTGCACAAGCCCCACTGGAAAAAGCAGGAGCTGCACATGTGTACTGCTGTGTTCTTGAATGACTTTCATTCACATTGAATGGCTCTCATAGATGAAGTTCCCAGCGGAACTGCAGCCACAGTTCTCAACATGAAAAAGACAGTACGGATAACGTCAAGTCCACTTAGTGCTAGCCAGTCACTTAGAAAACCCAAATGACACAGATACAGAAAGCTTGCTCTCTGGATACAACATATAAAACCACAAATTTAAGGAAGTAATTGACAGCAAGATAGGCATCTGTTTCAGTTTTTTTTAAAAAAAAGTTTCAGAGAACACAAACACAATACAGCAGCAATCTTTAAAAAAAATTCAAATTAGTGTAAGATATGAAAATAAAACAATTGGGTTCTTAAATGGGAATTAAAGTGCTCCTTTTCAGACATAAGTGTAAAGACAGAGTGATCATCAGTTACTGGCAATTCTTATTTAAATTAGGTTTTACATGGTAGGAGAACAGTGTGAACAGCAAATTTACAAAAATAGTTAAATGCCATTTTGGAGAAAAATGTTTGCTTTGCTCGATGTTGATCAGCTGTACCTGGTTATACAAAAATTATTTAAAATTCAAAACTTTTACCACATTTTTTTTAAAAAGGGGGGGATGATAAATAGCATTGAACTGGATGATTGAATGGCAAAATATGAAGGATGGAAAACTTCTATGTAGGGCACTTCATGTGTAAGCTGTTTTTTTCTCAATGCTTATCGTCACATAAGCAGTTAACAGGACTAGAGTCACAATCATGTAGTACAATGCATAAGCTATTAGAAATCCATTTGATGAAACACTGAAACCCATAATTCATTTGTTTATTCCAAACGTTGATTTGGCGTTGATTTTCCTTTATCTCATTATTCACATTCAAAAGTTAATAGACAGCGCCTAGGACTGTTGTGGGGAGGGGGAGATGGACCAGGACATAGCACAGGGAATTACTAGATCAAAGGCTTTATAGAAGGTCTTTCCCATTTGAATCAGGAGGCTTGTTAAGTTCAGTCTCCACACCTTTTTCACCTGTAAGACAAAGGGGGAGTTATTAAAAAAACACAGAAATACTATACCATTACAAGTTAGATATGTAAGGTGGCCAATCACACTCTCTTGCGCATGCGCGCGCGCACACACACACAGGCCACACCATCTCCCTAACTCACACGCTCCACATATACACAACTACACATGTGTGCATCTCTCACTCACGCATACATACCTTCCTGCCTCTCGCACACACACAAACACATACCACACAGAGCTCTCTCCCTCTCTGGCCACGTGCACCTCTCCCTCAGCCCACAGACCTCATGTATAGATTTTCTTCTCTCACACATGCACACAAGCAACATATAGATCAATCACCCCCATATATCTCTCCCTCACTCTCACAAATCATACATACAGCTCTCAATTTCATGCATACATGTACTACTGGAGCACACACACCCCCTCCCCGCCTCAGTTCAGAGAAGCACCTCTTTGGAGCACAACAGTATACCCAAAGCAAAACTACAAGGCTCCTGGAAGTATGGCAAAATCTGCCCCAATGGACGCTCAACCTTTCTGGTGCCAGTCAAATTGATCTGAAGGTAAAGGTAAAGGACCCCTGACAGTAAAAGCGAATAACTCTGGGGTTGCGGCGCTCATCTCGCTTTACTGGCCGAGGGAGCCAACGTTTGTCCGCAGACAGTTTTTCTGGGTCATGTGGCCAGCATGACTAAGCAGCTTCTGGCAAAACCAGAGCAGTGCATGGAAACGCCATTTAGCTTCCTGTTTATCTACTTACCTATTTATCTACTTGCACTTTGATGTGCTTTTGAACTGCTAGGTTGGCAGGAGCTGGGACTGAGCAATGGGAGCTCACCCCGTCGCGGGGATTTGAACCGCCAACCTTCAGATCAGCAAGCCCTAGGCTCAGTGGTTTAGACCTCAGTGTCACCCGCATCCCTCAAATTGATTTAGGAGAATGCAACACTCTATTAAGCTTCTCAAATATATACACCTTTCCTTTCTCCACGTTTTTACATGACAAAAATCCAACAGATCTGTTCTTCAGTTCATTTGTTCTAGATTTTAATTCAACACAATCTTAAACACAACCTCAGACTGTATCATTTGTGCATCCAATTCAAATAATAAGGGAATGTTTAAAGACAGTAATAGTGTTTGCTGCACATTCATGGAAATCCATTCCCCTAATGCATCAAATGTTTTAATAATTTTCTAGAAGCTTTCTTGGTTGGGGTGACTTAACCTTATGATTAAGCAGGACTGAAATATTTTCTTCAGTGTGCATAATATTTCGGTTGGGTATTTTTCCCCTGTGTGGCCTTTTAAACTCATTACTAGCTCTGAGCCACTATGGGTGGGGCAAGAAATAAGATGAAATTAAGGCTCTTTCCATTTCAAGATACTCAAGATAGTGGTACCTCGGGTTACAGACATTTCAGGTTACAGATGCTTCAGGTTACAGACTCCACTAACCCAGAAATAGTACCTCGGGTTAAGAACTTTGCTTCAGGATGAGAACAGAAATTGTGTGGTGGCAGTAGGAGGCCCCATTAGCTAAAGTGGTACCTCAGGTTAAGAACAGTTTGAGGTTAAGAACAGACCTCCAGAACAAACAGACCTCCAGAACAAATTAAGTTCTTAACCCTAGGTACCACTGTATAGGTCTTACTGAAGTTCATTATTAATTACAGCTATAATATCACTGTACAGTAATGCCTTCGCGAACGTCTGCCTTGTCTAGCGTCCATTCCAGCAAACCCGGAAGTACTGGATTGGGTTACATCCGGGTTTGCCGCTCGCGCATGCGTAGAAGTGCTAAATTGTGCTTCGCGCATGCGCAGAAGTGCAAACCACTCTGTGTGCATGCACAGACACGGCACTTTGCCCTGCGTCCTTTTCCGCTAGTGGCCGGGGCTCCGGAACAGATCCCAGCCACAAAACGAGGTACAATTGTACTCAGAAGCTGCTGTTGTCAGTTACTTTTACAGCTACGCACACTAAAATACAGCTGATTTTAGAGAGAACACAAACATAAAAAACAGGGAAATCAATTACCTGTTAAGTATTTTACTTTAGCACGGGCTCTTTCATCTGCATCAAAATACCACACTGTTATTGCGTACCTTTAAAAGATAAAAAGAATGAAATAGTAACACACTATATTAAAAAACAACACATTTTAACACCCTCTTAGATCCCTCCAATTACATGACAGAACCGTATACCTGAGCCACCTAAACAGCAGTGTATACTGTCAACTTATTCTGTGTATTTGTAACGTCATAATTTTCAGAACTTAATACAATCTGTAACTTACTACTTTGAGCTGAAAATTCTAATTTCCGAAACAACTCAATTCTTGGCAGACTACTGGCTCAGGCAATTCATATTAACCACAGGAGAAAGGATCTTTACCAAGCAAGCAAGCCTCATTGAATTGTAGATTGGGTGTTAAGCTTAGCAGAGGGAGCCCTATTGGTTGTTCCACCACCCTTAGAAGCTCTGGCCCAGCAGAGGGCATTCTCTGTGGAAGCCCTTAAGTGGTGGAACTCCTTTCCCACAGAGGTGCATCTGGCATATTAATTATACAGTTTGTGGTGAATGCTGAAGACACACCTCTTTACCCTGGCCTTTGACACCAGATTAGTATTTTTAGGACCCACCTTATTTCTGTGATTGTTAAGTTGCTTTAAACTGCTTTGAATTGTGTTTTTAAGTGTTGTAACCTGCCCTGGGACCTTAGGGAGAAGGGCAGGTAAATAATAGCACTAATAATAAATTGGTGGCACTGACAAGTAGGAAACATCCAACTCTAATCATCTTCAGCTTTATTGGAAAAAAATGGTCCTTCAGACTTTACCCAACTAAACAGATGTCTCCTTCCGATGAAAAGCAAATTGATTCTTAAGAAAACAACAGGGCCCCTGCAGGATCAGAGCAAAGGTTCATCTGGGCCAGAGTTCACACTGGCCAACCAGATGCCTATGAAAGGCCCAAAAGCAGGACATGAGTGCAATAGCATTCCGATGCTTGTGATCCCCAGCAACGTTCCTTGATTTTAGATAGCTTCCTTGTTTTATAACTTTAAGGTTGCAATCCTATACAAACTTGCCAGCAAGTACTAAATTTTACTGAACTCAATGGGACTTCCAAGTAAGCATGCCTAGAATCAGACTGTAACTCAAAGCTGTTGCTTAAAAAACAAACCAACAAGAATATATACTTCTAATATATTTTATACCAGCAAACTCTCCTTCAATTTTCACAACGTATGAAGAAGTAGGAAGTAAGAAATGAAGTCTGCAACCCTAAGAGCATAGGTCTAGCACTTGAGAGAAGCTCCTGACAGATTAGGTCAGAAAGGACAGTCTAAGAAACTTGGAGGTTTCGCTTTATCTACCTGCTCTTTCCCTTGGAGACACATCAAACTAAGTTGCATCTCTACACCTCCAAGAACTGCCCCCTTTCACTTCAACAGAATGTTAATTACAAGGTTTATAAATTTAACATTTGTACAGCACCAAAAAACTGAACTCCATTCACTCAGGAAACAAACATCTAATCTAATGCAGTGATAAATTTTGCAGTGTATGTACGTAAAGCCTTATTTCAAGAGACATTTACAAAATTATTTATTCTACTGATACTCAGATGTACATGCACTTGTTTAAAAGCCTAATCTCCATATTTATTAATACACAAACACCACCTTTACTCTAAGCAGCTCAAGGTGACATACATGGATCAGGCTGGCTCAAGGTCACCAAATGAGCTTCAAGGCCAAGTAAAGATTTGAAGCCTGGTTTCCCAACTTTCTAACTACTACTTTCTAACTGTTGACTCTTATAAACACAGCTATTTTTATCCCTTTTTTAGTCTTCCCAAATAATAGCTCTCACACACCTGTTAACAATTCATGACTGGCCTCAGTGATCAACTCCTATGCCTTCATCTGCTTTATATGACACGTAAATTCAATTTTTTTTTAACCTGAGAAACAAACTGACATGTCTACTCCCCATATATAGGCCTTCAGCCTAAATGTACTGCGGTCCAAAAAATATCGGGGAGAAAAAACCCGACAACTTATAACAATGCATGACACCATTGATAAAACAATGACTTTTTTTTCCATTTAACTAACCTGCTATAAATCATGACAAACCTGAGCTTTTGTTGATCCATAACTAATGGTAACGTAGCATGCCACTAATCAATGCAAGTTAAAACTCTCAAAATTTGTCAAGCATAAGTCATACATTCTGATAACTGAGGCTCCATTTGTACTAGTCACTTTCCTGGGACAGATGAATCCAATTTTTGTAGATTTCCAATTCCTTCTCATTTCTGTCCTAAACTTACTAAAGTCTGCCGGTATATATTCATTCATCTTACCTTGTAGCAAATGCAGGCTGCACTTCATGAGGGTTGCGGCGGTCAGACCAGAAAAACAGCAATCTATCAAACTTAGGTTCAATGTCAGCAAACTGGGCTTTGCCTTCAGGAAATATTCGAAGAATACCTCCACTTACCTTAAAAGACATAAACAGTGCTTCACAATCAAAGATGCTATCAGCAATTTCAATGTACCAATAGCACCTACATATAGCTTCCTTTTAACTCAACTATTTCTAGAATAATTAAAGCAGACAGTAAGATTTCCTTCTCACAGTGATCCAAATAAAAGTAAGTTGCACTAATGAAACTCTTTTTTTATGTTCATAAGTTGGCTCTATAAAATGAACTAGCACAGACTGAAAAATCATTCGAACAATCAAAATGTCTCAGATTTTTGTAACATACATTAATGAATGTGTTTTAGTGTATATTTAGATAATCAATATTAATAAAACGGAACTTTTGCAAAACCAAAAATTACTGTTTTATGAGAAACAAAATCTCTGTGCTGATATTGTTAACTGCATACAAATTCTGAATGAGTGGTCCACAGAATGAATATAAACAGCACCTTTAAAAATATTGAATAATGTAGGAACTCCTCCACTGGGTTAAATTAAAGACCCCATCTAGTCCAGTATCCTGTTTTCACAGGAAGTAGAACCAGGGTACAACAAGCACTCTCCCTGGATTTCTGACAAGCAACTAGCTTAGCTGAGTTTCAATTGGGGCAATTACCAGCCACTAGTCTAACCAATTTCTATACTTTGCCCAACATTCTCATAGTTCCTTGAAGTTAAATATGAACAATGAGGAGTCAGCACCACAACAAATGGCTATCAAATTCCTGAAGGAGGAAATAAATTCTAGTCTTTCTCCAAAAACGACCAGGGAGATCAGTGAATATATGATCTATAATTTATTTTCAACATAGCAAATAAATATATTCTTAACAAAGTTGAAAGCGTCTCATAACCTTAGTATTAAAGAAGGCAATTCCTCACATTTACACATGAACTAGAAGAGTTGTTTCACGTTTAACATTAGCATCAAAGCTACACAGAAGTTTACTGCCATAAAAATAATAAGCAGGATCCAAAGAGCTACTTGAGGTGCATTTAAAATTTTCAGCATGCCTAGTGTGATTTTTGACAGTTTTCTTAGGAAAGTATGTTTTTAGATCCTAGCTGGAGTGGAAGGGAGACCAAACACTAGGTGAGGTGCCCTGGATATAGGATCGGATACAACTTCAAAGCATATGTTTACTAGGTGTACAAGATATTGCTTTAAAAGGCAAACATGTAAAAAAACCCTCTCTAAAATAGAATTACCTTGGCATCCCAGTCTTTATTAAGGTAATATATACATGTGACACATCTTCCATCTCCATTTGGATTATCAACATGGCGCACATATCCTGTTCCATTGCCTGGATAACAAGCCACCATTGCCTGTAATAAAAATGGAACAAAACTAGCATAAGAACAGATTGTTGGCTACAATAGTATGCTTCTTTCAAGCCAAACTTTAGGGAGAGGACTTTGAGGGTGCCATGAAAGGCCTCTCTGAGAACATGCACCTGCAAGAACCACATTCACAACTCCTGCTTTATGCAATTAAACCTCATGTCATGCCTAATGATTAGAATTCCAAAGCCCTGGGAAGGGGAAGCACCAAGTAGGAAGCTCTAGAATGGGTCAGCAAGGTTTACCTCGCCTGGGCCGGTTCACTCCAGCGGAGATCCGTCCATGGGCTCCATGAGCATGTGATTTCCAGTGTCTGCATCTGCACAGACACGATTTCCGGCACCACGGAAGTGAGTCCCTGCGTTGCGCTGGTTTAGCACAGCGTGCGGGGACTCGCCGAGTGGGCGGCTCAGTTCGGAGGCGGCTTGGGGGCCAGTTAAACGACCCCCGTGGGCCGCTTGTGGCCCATGGGCCTTAGGTTGCAGACCCCTGCTCTAGAAAGTGGTTATAAATTAGCAACCCATTCCTCATTCATTTAAAACTGGCAGGCTGATTCCACTACCCGTTTATTTAGAGGGGGAAGGTGCTGGAATACCTCACCCTTTGAAAATCCAGAGACCATAAAGGAAAACACGTTTTACACACTTCTGTTGTTTTTGTTTTCTGTTATGTCCCAAATACACAAAAGTCATTGTAGAGATAAACCTGGAGATAAGTGCACCTTCTTACCGTTTCAGAAATGGTTGACCATCATGTTTACTATAATACAAGATCAAATGAACAGTCAACAAAGCTATTTCCTAGGGGTCAGTAAATATCTTGCTTTACAGTCATGTAGAATGCTTGTAGCCCTGTTAGATTTAAGTAATTTTGCTGTAGTTAATACACTGTTGCATACAAAACACTAGCCCTTTTCTACTGTATTCCCCCCCCCATGTCCAATTCTTTGTGATAAGAATTAAATATCCCACTAGATTTAAAATAGGTGGGGTGAATTATGAAATACTTTTATTTCCACTCTTTTTTGCTAGCTATAACAAAACAAGCTGAAAAGGTTAAAGGTTAATAACAAGGAAACAGCTTGAAAGTAGATGGACAAGAATTCACTACATGCTAAAGAGGAAGTGCTGGAATGAGCAGCTGCTACAAAAAGACTATTTAAAAAAATCTAGAAGAGACAGGTGATTATAGGAGCAAGCACAGGATGTATTAAACTCAAATCCAAAGGAAACTAGTACAATAGTAATTGAAGAATACACCGCAAGATGTAAACTAGAAGAGCTTGCCTGACTTTCAAAACTAGACCCATACCTTAAATAATATTATTTTAATAATCAATATCTGGGAGTAAAAACAAGAGACCAAGCAATTTTAGCAGGTTAAGATGCACTACTATCGTATTTTGCTCACTGCAAATATAAATGTGATGTGAATTTAGAATATCAGAACACAAATATAAACTTATTTTAAAGATACTAACTTTAAGGCAGGAATTCTATACACATGTACTTGGAAAGAAGTCCTAGTGAAACCAAGAGGGCTTACTCCAAGTAAACCTGCAGACCACAGGAGACACTTAATAAAATTTTAGCCTTGCTTAACATCCTGTTGGATATAAGTCCATAGACTCTGGCCCTGATAAAATTATCAAATCCTCAAGTTTCATTGACGGCATCATTACAAGCAAGACACATGATTGGGACTACCAAAGGATTTTTCAACTAAATTATCAACTGAATTTCCCACCACCCAGCTTCATTGGATGACCTTGGTTCTAGTGTTATGAGAGAAACTTCTCTATCCACTTTCTCAACACTACAAAAATGCATCTTTTGGAGATAAGGCAAGAAGAACTGCATGGTTTTTCCAAGTGTGATCCCAATACAGATTTCTGTAAAGGCCCCAGTAAAACTGGCAAATGTTATTTTCAGTCTTGCCTATAATGATCCTTAGCCCAGAATCTATAGGTCAGAGCTTTTCAAACTTTTCATGCTGGTGACACCCTTTTTAGACATGCATCATTTCACGACACAGTAATTCAGTTTTACTAGCAAGCCGGAGGTTAAACTATCCCCTTTCCAGTCCCGGGAGAGGTGCAGGGAGTGTTCGCGCAACACACCTACACTCTGCAGCTGACACACTAACGTGTCGCGACACAGTTTGGAAAGCTCTGCAAATCCACTGCCCTCTTCACCACAACCCCTATCTCTCTTTCTCAGTTAAAGCTAGCTCATATCAGGGTAAGCAGGAATACCCAGCGCCAGTCCAGAGGTGGAACACTGTCTGCAGTGAAATTCTCTGCCCCCGCATGCTTCTTACTGCCTGGGCTGAGTGCTCCTGAGCTCCTTCGTGGTTCCTCAACCTGCAAGAGCCTGCTTACTTGTCTCTCTGATTCTCAGGAACTGAACAGTAAGTCAGCAGGCTGCTACACCCTTCTCTCCCCAACGTGCTGCAAGCCTAGCCATCACAGATGCACTGCTGAATAAACAAACAAGATGTTATACAGACCTTTAGCTCAAAAGTGAAGAAACAGTGCTTCAATTCAAGTAAGCACAACTGAAGCCTTTAACACCCACCTAGAGAGGCTGGCTGAGAGGGAGAGGCATTCTCTACAATGGTGTCCTCTCCCTTTTCCTTCCTCCAACAGGCAGGCTCTTTATCTTTTGTAATATTGTACAATGGTTTTTGCCTTCAGGTAGGCTCCTAGTCCAATCTCTGTCCAATGCTTCCCAGGCACAGGGCCTGAACAAATCCAAAATACAGATATCATTCCAAATATTGGTTTTATTATATGAGCTCATTCTAATTCAATCTGGTTCCACTGGATGCAGTAAGTTTACCCATATTCTGAACCCCTCTTTTTTTTAGATCTTTTCAGTGTTTATTTGTTGATTTATTGTGTAATTGTGAGCTTTTGAAATTTTAAAAAATTAATATATATAAACATTTTAAAAACTTTGTACGAAACCAAAGACTCTTCAGATGGTGTTCCTGTTTGGGGGAGGAAACTCTTCAAATATTCTTTCCTCTTTTAGTTCTGTTTTTTTTAATTATTCTTATTCTGGTTCAGTTTGATTTCCTGCTATCAAGCTGATTCATTGACATTTCTACAGAAGACTTAAGAAGCAATCCTATGGATGCTAAGACTGCAATTCTATAAATGTTCACCTGGCAATAAAAACCCCTGAACTCACTTCTGAGTTCACACTTTTACAAGCCTCATTGAACTCTGTTGGACCTGCTTTCAATAAATGTGCCTAGGATAGGGCTATTAGTATACTTGATGACCCTAAAACATTCTAGATGACATAGAGTAACTAAACACAATTTAAAGCAGGTATTAGAGTATCTGTCGGAAGCTGAACAGGCAAAAGGGTTTAGTGAGAAGGAAGAAGCTGGGGCAGAAAGCAGTCCTGATGTAGAGGCTGGAGGTGGGGGGCAGGAGACAGGGGTGAGACAGGCTGCTGAAGAATCCAGGGAGTCTCCCTCTCCTGCAGTGACCAGCTTCCTGCACCTGGTCAACCAGAACATGCAGAGAAATGAAAAGAGCAGAGATTAGGTGTGCACAAACACAATCTTCAATTGCTTGGGAAAAACCCTGCAGAGGAGGGGACTTCGGCAGCTGTGGAAAAGTGGGGACCTTCAGTCTTTGCAGCTGCCTCCATGGGGCAAGACCTACTGAGAAGAGTAGCTGAGATCACTAGGCTTTCACTGTTTTTGGTTTCTTTGAATAAGGAGTTAACTTCACTGACACCAGTGTTTTTTATTGCTGACCTACACCTGACTCCGGCTCCTGATCTATGCAAACCTTAAACTGTAGTCCAATTTAACCATGGTTTGCTGAAACAAATCAGCTTCATAAACCATGGTTTGTAGCTGGCATTTCTCAACACAGAATTGTTAGGATAAATCATACTTTCTAGTCTTGTCTGGACCTATCAAACAGCAGTTAATAGAAAATGGAAGTGAAAGCTTCCAGTCTCCTCCATGCAACCATGCAAGAGAAGTGGAGGGGGGTAAGAAAGCAAGGCATCTCATTCCTGTCATGATAAACCATTATGATGCCCAAACTGGCTTATACTGTTCACATGCTCCTAATGTGTCAAAATTAGTTTGCTTTTAAAATTTGAGAAACACATTTATAGAGCAGACTATTATCTGATAATTCACGCTTTCCCCGGTCTTTGACTTTCAGCTGCTTATAAAATTGGGATTTTCAATTTGCACAACTGAATAAAATACTATATACAAAAGTATTCCACTTCCTTTAAAATCCACATTTTGTACCACACACCCTTTATGTCAAAATAAGCAGGTTTCCTTCCCTGTAGAGAACAGCTACAAGGCCTTTTCCTGTCAGACACTGAACAAGCATAGTAGTGGCTTAAACAATATGACATTTCACCAGCTGTGTGAGGCTAAGACAGTAAACTTACTTCATGAATTTTCTGCAAAACAATTGCACTTTCTATTCAATATTACAAGTTAATAATTATTTTCAGTAATATTATGAATTGTAAAGCCCTTGCCATTGTTTCTGTGATTTAAATTGTGTGACTTTTTATTATTATCAACCAATTTGCAAGGAAGATTGACTCAAAGAATATTGTGACATAAAAATAAAAGGACTCAAGACTTAATAAAACCTGTGTTAGATGCATAAATAGTTGTCTTCATGCTTCTAGGACCCTTGCAGTTCTGATAGCAGGTATCACCCCTGGTTCACAGAAGACACCTGCTGCAGCAGAAGTGGCTTAAGGCCCTCACCAAATACAGAATTAAGCCCATTTTAAGAACTTTGTTGCCATGGCAAGGGAGTGGGAGAGAAAGCAAGACTCTTTTTATCAGCCTGCCTGGCTCAACTGACATCTAGAGCCTTCACTCTTAGACTCCATCAACGGCAAGCCACTCTGTATGGGACAGTGAGAGACAAAGTGGCCCTGGTTTTTCTTTTCTTTTTCTCCCTATTTGGGTCTCTCTTTCTGTGAACACCATAATACTGTGTTATACTTTGCTTACTTTGGGATATGTTGCATTAACAAATGCAGAAAGGGCCTATAGAAATTTAAATAGGAAACCCTCTTTAAATATTTCCAGAAACCCTCCCCCCCGTATGGCTTCTAATTATTGGTTAACATGCAGGATAGCACCTCTCTTGCCCCAGAGACTATATTTTTGACAGCTTTAAAAATAGGGCAAGTACTAATTAAGCTCTCCTACGAACTGTGGCATTGGAAGACAGAGAACACAATGTTCTGGATTCTATCCAACAGTGGGAATCAAAATACTCATACTTTCCTCTCCTCTCCCTTGATTTACTCCTTCAGGAAGAGGAAGTCTTATTTGTGGTCATTACAAATCAAATTAATAGCAGTGTTTTCAAATAGTAGAGCTTTTTCAGACTTTCAATATATTCTAAATTCCCTCAAAAATACTAGGAAGGGTTTAAAAACTAGACTTCAAGTATAACAAAAAAAGCCTAAGATTTGAAAAATCCATGCTGCATTAAAAGGGGTATGAAGGATTAGCCTCTACGCTAACAAATACAGAAGATTTTTAAAAATGAGAACATTGATTAAGAAGTGCTCTATTTTCTGCCAAAATCTGTGTCAACTGGACGCAAGTCAGTCTTTGGATGAGAGAAGATGTGCTCAGTGTTTGCCTCCATAGAGAATGTTTCGGATGATAACCAACATTTTGTGATTGGACTTCCACTTGTGCAATGAGACCTGCTCTTCCTCCCCCAGCTGTCCCCCCTCAACAGCCCAATTTGTTCAAGCGTTTTCTGAACCTATGGCGCAGATTTTGGAAGCACCGGGGGCTGCAGGGGTGAGGTGAGAAAAAGAAGGCCCTTGCATGAGTGGAAACCCTTAGCACACAGGAGTGGATGATAATCTAGGAGAGAAGAACAAGACAGAGTGAACAAGACAGTTGAAAAGCCAAAACAGTTTGGTATATAGTACAGTAAAAATCCTTTGTTAAACTGCTTCCTTATTTGGGATCATGAACAGGCACCTGTTGGTACAACACAGCTCCTTCTTCCCTCCATGACCCCTGTGCTCTGGGGCAGATTTTGGGGGTGCATAAAGGAGGGGAGAAAGAGGAGAAAACGGAAGACCTGTTGTGCAAAAAGAATTTCCTTGTGCAAGAAGGGAGACATTCCTGGATGTCACCCATTCTGATTACTTTGGGGGTGATTCTCGCTAACCCTCAATTACATTTCAATCCCTCTCACAAACATAAGTTTTATTTTCCATGAGAAGCACAAAGGTGACATGGAAGAAAAATACAGTGTCAAGGGCAAGGCAATGTATAAAGTAAAACAACTGATTTCCTTGTGCCCATGGAAGGGCTTTTGATCCAGCAGATACATCAACTAACAGAAGAGTGGAGGCAATTATTGCTGATTTCCTTTCCCCCTGCAGCACCTACTTCCAACTGTTCTCCCTACTCTAGTTGGGGGTGGGGGTGGGGGCAGGGCACTGACAGTGTAAGGCAGGGGTCAGCAAACCTTTTCAGCAGGGGGCCGGTCCAGCGTACCTCAGACCTTGTGGTGGGCCGGACTATATTTTGGAAAAAAAAGATGAACCAATTCCTATGCCCCACAAATAACCCAGAGATGCATTTGAAATAAAAGCACACATTCTACTCATGTAAAAACACTAGGCAGGCCCCACAAACAACCCAGAGAAGCATTTTAAATAAAAGCACACATTCTACTCATGTAAAAACATGCTGATTGTCAGACCATCCACGGGCCAGATTTAAAAGGCAATTGGGCTGGATCCAGCCCCCTGGCCTTGGTTTGCCTACCCATGGTGTAAGGGAAAGAACCAGCAAAAATAGTGCCCCCTCCTCCTCCTTTAGCAGATGCCTCCACTAAATCAAAAGCACTTCGTGAACTCAAGGATATGCACATATAGTTTATAAGGTCCTGAAAATTAACATCTGCTTAGCATTGTAGACCGATCTGTGCTCTGAGATTACCTATGATCTCTGCATAATAAAGCTGCTCGTTCTTTACTACAGTGGTGCCCCGCAAGACGAATGCCTCGCAAGACGGAAAACTCGCTAGACGAAAGAGTTTTCCGTTTTGGAGGTGCCTCGCAAAACGAATCTGCTATGGGCTTGCTTCGCAAGACGAAAATGTCTTGCGAGTTCCTGGGTTTTTTTTTCCTTTCCCCCCTCTTTTTCTAAGTCGCTAAGCCGCTTATCTGCTTATCCGATAAGCTGATAAGCTGCTAAAAGCCGCTAATAGCGCTAATAGCGCTAATCCGTCAATGGGCTTGCTTCGCAAGACGAAAAAACCGCTAGACGAAGAGACTCCCAGAACGGATTCTTTTCGTCTTGCGAGGCACCACTGTATAGTGAAAGCGATCTTCTTTTCACACTGGCAGTTTCATGAGTAGATTTGTCCCCCCATAATGCTACTCCTGTTGGGATCCTGGTTATTTAGGAAAAAAGAACCAACCATATTATATTTGTAATTTTTTGTTTCAATTTATACTATTCAGGGTCTGTCAACATCACTGATGAAGGGAAAAGAAAAAATATCCAATGGCAAGTCATTGATTCTAAAATTGGATTTGATGAACGGAGTGGAAGTTTTGCCCTACCTGTCTATGGAAGTCCACAGAAGCCCTATTTCATTCAAAAAAGAGGTGGCTCTTCAGCTGAGCTAGGAATGCTCTAACATGGTCTGCTCTTTGTAGTTAGGGAACCCCTAAAAGCTTGTGCCACAATAAATCCATCAAGCCTTTATAGTGCCATAATTTTGTCATAATTAAACTGCACAAATACCTTCTAAACTGTAACACAACTGTGGTTTGTATTCAACAAAATCAGAATATATCCACTGAAATAAGGAGATTTAAGTTAGTCACATTCATTGATTTCACTTCATTTATTCTGAATATGGCTAACAGTGGCTACAACTCTGAATCTTTTTCAGCACTTTGACAAATATAGGAATCCAGGTCCTGAATGCCCACTGAAGGAGGTTCTTCTACTGTTTCAGTTAAACAGAGAGGTACAGTAGTACCTCAGGTTAAGTACTTAATTCGTTCCGGAGGTCCATTCTTAACCTGAAACTGTTTTTAACCTGAAGCACCACTTTAGCTAATGGGGCCTCCTGCTGCCACTGCGCCGCCAGAGCACGATTTCTGTTCTCATCCTGAAGCAAAGTTCTTAACCCGAGGTACTATTTCTGGGTTAGCGGAGTCTGTAACCTGAAGCGTATGTAACCTGAGGTACCACTATATACATTTGGGGGAAGGGGAAACTCACACCTTTATTTGTTGTTTTTTGGCCAGCTTTTTACTAACTAAACATCTGCCAAATATGGGCTATTTCAAATCAACAGTTACCATATAGAAAAGAGCACTAGATTTAGATGGGCATATGCTTAAAGTTTATACAAACTTCAAAGCTGTAAGTCAGCAGTCCATGTTGTATTTATGTTTTCAATACAGTTAATCTTAAATCCTAAAACACTCAGGCTAGATCCCATTTATAGACTCACTGAGGAATGTCAACAAGGGGCATGCAAAACTAATGGAAGACTGCTGGAGCAGAGTGCCCAAGCAGCAATCTCTGTGGTTGAGCATAGTCTAAACACTGCCAACAATTGTCAAGTTTTATCCCACTATACAACACTGAATCTATACATATGGCTGGTCTCCAAGATTAAATAAGGCTTTAAGCAAGAACAAACGATGTATCTTTTAGCTGGCAGGCTAACACTATCATTTTCCTTTAAACCACATTCTCGTATCCCAACTGTTTGAACTTCAGAAAACATTTCTGATTAAAGCCAGGTTAGCAGTGTACAAGCAATACCAAAGCTCGTCTATGGCTTCCTCTGCCAACATTCTTCATTCTTAAGACAGCAACATTCCTTATGTTCCATTTCTGGCTTTTATCAAATCAAGGCTATGCAATGGAGGGCAATTCCTGCATCCTTTTTAACAAAAAAGAGGTTGATAATGAAGCAAATTACTGACAAATAATCACAGGAACTACTTCTTTGATATTCTTATCATCTATGGTCTGAGAAACAAACATTAATTTTAGGCACCATTGTCATTTTCTAATTTATTACGCATTATGTAACTTATGAAGAATTAGTGCACAATTTGGCTGTTTTCCCTTCCATATTTCCTTTTGAATCATGCGTACATTTAGATTTCAAGTCTGCAGATAGAGATGGTACTGTTTTATGTTGTTTATATAAAGTTTTAGATGCTTTACAAATAATCTAATTCTTTTTATAAGAATTACTCAGCACTGTCACTCAATTAGAGTTTCATTTCCAATCTCTCTCTCTCAAATAAATATGATTTTACTTTCTGAATGGGAGCTCAAGTTTGAAATGGAATAAAAAACAGTGCTTATATGTCTACATTTTATCAGCAGAGGGGCATAACTTGTTCACAGAACAAGGGATGAAGAGCAGTTGTTCTACAAAGTTCAAACCACCAATAAAGTGTTCTAGGGAGCAGTGATGTGAGGTGGAATTTTTTTCAAGTGCTTTAATTACTAACAATAATTGGATATCAATTGCAAATACAATTAGACAATCTTCACTATTTCCAGGTTGCGGAATCACTATATAATGTAATTATAAATTAATTTTGTATACCATCCTATACCCATAGATCTCAGGGCAGTTCACAACATAAAATCACAATATAAAAAACAGAAATACATTATAAAAACAAAGATAATAATCCTCCCTTCCACAACATATTTTAAAAGGGCACCTGATGTCAATCAGCCAAAGGCCTGGTTAAAGAGGAAGGTTTTGACCTGGTGCCTAAAGGTGTTTAATGAAGGTGCTAGCCTTCTTTGGGCTGTTCTATGGGCTGCTAAAATTTATTAGCATATCAATAGCCTGTTGCTCGGTCCCTGCTCCTGCCAACCTAGCAGTTCAAAAGCAAGTCAAAGTGCAAGTAGATAATAGATACCGCTCCAGTGGGAAGGTAAACAGCATTTCCGTGTGCTGCTCTGGTTCACCAGAAGCGGCTTAGTCAAGCTGGCCACATGACCCGGAAGCTGTACGCCGGCTCCCTTGGCCAATAAAGCGAGATGAGTGCCACAACCCCAGAGTCGGTCATGACTGGACCTAATAGTCAGGGGTCCCTTTACCTTTACCTTAAGGATGGACATGCCTGGGTATAATGAGGAAAATCATAGAGATTTCAGAGGTCTCTTCCCAAGGTGAACTATGTTGTCAATAACCAAACCCCTTGGTCAGACAGCAGGCCCAAAAGAATATATGCATTGCAATTAAAAATCTATGTAATGTATTATCTCCCCCACACATTTCTAGTCAATTACATGTTGTATATTGATACAAAAAATTAACATGGGTACTTTTAAAAGTTTTGTTTACTAAATGTAAGTAAAATAAGTAAAACCACCTCGAGAAATGTGGGGTGATGCGTGTCTGAGGAGAGTGCATTCTCTGTGGCAGCCCTTAAGTTGCAGAATTATCTTCCCACAGAGGTACATCTGGAACATTTATTATACAACTTTCATTATAGGCTGAATATACATCTCTCTACTATGGCCTTTGACACATGAGAGATATTTTTAGGACCCATCCTGCTCTTCTGATTGTAAATTGTCTTAAATGATTTACCATAAATCTTTTTATTTTTACATTGTTGTAATCAGCCCTTCAATCTTATGGTGATGGGAAAGTAAGAAATCAAAATCAAATCAAGTAGTAGTAGTAGTAGTAGCAGCAGCAGCAGCAAAATATTAATTAACCTCAGCCACTATTTTAGACTAATCCTCATCTCTACAGCCCCAAGTCCACACCTGCAGCAAACCTGCAGCAAACTAGTCAACCAATATCAATATTAACTAACATTTTATTTAGCAAGTTATATGAACTTTTATTAGCTCAAGCTGTTCTTATCAACTTGTGAGGTTTCTGTTTCGTTTGTTTTTCTTTACAAGGCTAAATGACAACTTCCTTCACAACCGACCAATAGGATTTTAATTTCAATTAACAAGCTTTAGTTAAGATTCCTGCCTTGTAGGGGGTGGACTCGATGACCCTAGGGTCCCTTCCAACTCTAGAATTCTAAGCAATAATAACATATTTAATGATTTTTTTATTTTAATTTTACTTTGGGGTAAATATTAACCAATTAGTGGAGAAATGGAGACAATAATGCAAACAAAGCTCTAGTACAAACTGATACTTTCATTGCACTGAAAGTCAACCACATTTACTAGAATGCTAATTAAAGAAAACATGCAGTAATTCAAATTCGACACTGTTCAATATCTGGACCACAGTACTACCCACTGAAGTTACATGCCCTGGCAATTAAAAGGCTTTCCAAGCCAAAAAAACCCAAAACCTGTGGTCTCACCTCATCAGCAATGGCCTGTTACAGAACTGGGCTCAGAGTAGCCCGCTTGCAAAAAGGTCTTTTAACCTTCTTTAAAATTCCGATCTATAACCTAACAAATCAAACTGGGTACAGGAAGACATTTTTAAATTCCTTTCAAGACCATTTAGTTTTATTGGCTTTATACCTATTTAACTAAAACAAGGAGGTGTTTCCTGCATATATCTAAAACAGAGGTTAGGAAGTGACAATAAATGACAGAGTCAACACAATAAAACTGCATGCTCACAGCAAGATGTGATAAATGCAGGTAGCCACAGTGATCCAGAACAAATAACTCCAGAAGTAGTACAAGGGTAATATTTTGGTTTGGCGCAAGTAAAATGCCTTACATAGCATCAGATCATCTAGCTCAGTATTGTTTACACCACCCTCTCCTACCTGGTGACCTTCAGTTATTTTGGACTACAATTCCAATCAGCACCAGCCAGCACAGTCAATGGACTGGGATAATGGGAGTTATAGTTCAAAACACCTGGAGAGCACCTCGGTTAGAGAAAGCTGGCTTACACTGACTAACAGCAGCTCTTCAGGGTTAAAGGCGGAAGTCTTTTCAAGCCCTAGTTTGAGAAATCGTACCTGGGAACTTCTGCATTCAAAGCATGCGCTTTACCACTGAACCATGTATTCTCTTGCCCCATATACTAAGCAAACCCAGAATGTGTTGACTTGCCTTTTGTCAGTGCCATGTTCATCTGAACACACAGACTAGTTGCATTGGTCTATTAGACTTGAAAATCTACAACTTCCAAATATCCAAGAGGTGCAGCACACTGTTAGGAACAGGATTGGCAACTACAATTTTTGGGCTGAAAACTAAGCCTCACCAAAATGTGGAGCCTTGTATAGGACGGAGAGAAATGGTGGTAATGGCAGCTGTTCCAAGTGGAAAAGTCAACGGGTGACAAGTGCCTGAGAGTTTTAAAATGGCTCTTACTGGTTTGTATTCTTTTATTATTTTTAAAAGGACATCTTTATTTCAGTTCCCCAGACACAAATCAGGTATCTGCTCATTATGAATAGTCAAATACCCTTTAAGGCAGGCATAGGCATACTCTGGCCCTCCAGATGTTTGGGACTACAATTCCCATCACCCCTAGCTAACAGGACCAGTGGTCAGGGATGATGGGAATTGTAGTCCCAAACATCTGGAGGGCCGGAGTTTGACCATGCCTGCTTTAAGGTAACATAATGCTATACAGAAATAATATTGTCAAAGGAAATATTCAAAAATGGAATTTCTGCACAATAGTGTCCTGAAAAGATGTTTACAAGCAGTTAAGCACTGTTGTATTAGAAAAATTTCTAACTGATTTTAAGTTAAAGCTATTTTAATGACCACCTATATTTTACTAATCCTGGGGCCTGTAAATAGCCATACACCTTCAAAAGAAATTTTTTACTAATACCAGTCTTCTTTGGGGGTTTTAAATTTCATGCTTGACTTATCTACTTGACATATTTGCTTTCATAGCAGGACCGGTCACTTCTGCGGACTTGTCTGCAAGACTGGACTAACCTAAGTCTGATTCTTTTTACATATCCACTGCCCCAATATTAAACATGTTAACACAGGTCTCTCTCATTTGTGACACTAAGCACACTTTTATTAAATCTGTTTAAGATACACCTGTTTCATTTCCCTACACACATATTAACCTACAGTACTTTTAAGAAGTTATCTGCCTCTCTGCTCCATATTATATTTAAATGCTTGGTATGCCTTTAAAGGAAGTACAGTAATGTCTGCTTAATAAGCTGTATTTTTTTGGCAAACTTTTTTGCAGAGGAAGTTTTACACTGTATATGTTAAGCACCTTCTTACCTAGCACTTTGTGGATGGCTACCTCAGCAGCTCCCATGTGCTTAAGCCTGGGTGCTTGTATAGCTCAAGTCTCACAATTTAGGAGAGCGCATTAACAGTTCAATCCTATACATGTCAATTCAGAATTAAGTCCCACTGAGTTCAATGGGACTTACTCCCAAGGAAGGGGGTTATGATGTTTCACATTATCTCCAATCAGTGTTTGAAATTCCCATTGTTCTAGGTGCATTTTGCGACAGGGAATTTCATTAACATAAGCAGTTTCTGAGTTCTGGGTGCAGTACAGCACCTAAGATTTCAGATTAAAACTGCAAAGTGGAAGGAAAGAAGGACCTTTTTCTGCCTCTCCACTTCCAGCTACTCTTTGAAGGCTAGAGATGAGACCTTATTAAGAATATTAGGGAGGTGGGCAAGAGAAGAACTAGACCATGTGAAAAATGAACACAATATTTTAGCTGTAGTTCATTTATTTTCAGCTTTGTATTCTTGTTATTAAAAAATGCGCCTAGACATTCCATTGTTGAGCCCATAACTTAGGTTTAATACGCCATTTAGCTCCTAGCTTTCATATCTGTTTCTAACACTGTTTGCAACATTATTTATTTACTGCTAGCAGCCTGCTAGATATTGTATCAAAATATAAATATAATGTGGTCCCTGTACAGAGATTTATAAGTTAAATTAAAGGGGCAAGTCTATGGTAACTGTCAACAGAATATAGAATCAGCATTTAAGCAGATTATGCAGGCCACAAAGGCACAGCTAATCATATCAGAAGACTAAAGGTGAAACTGTATCAGAATGTTTAGAATAGAGATATTTCAGAATATTGCTTCATTAACTGAAGGGCTCCACAATTCACAACAAGAAATCTGAGATGATCCTTTGCCCCTCTACAGCCCCAAGATGTAGCAGGCATACTTGTGACATTGAATGGATTTATAGAGCCTTTCTCTCTTAATGATATTCTGATGATTTAAGAAGTTCAGCTCCCTGTAATGTCTAGGTATGTTGCTACCTTATATCAATGTTCACATTTAAAATTAGTCATGCTGAGTTTCATGCCAAACACTGTTGCACAAATAGTTTCCACTAATATTTAGTAAAGGTACAATTCTGCTAATTTTTTGTAATTTAATTAAAGCCTAGTATATCATATTGTCTCATACTGAACATGCAGGTACAACTGTTAAATGACAGTTTTATTTGCATGTTTTTTATAACAGTGGTAGATGGGATCAGAACATCTTCCTAGATAGTATATATTCTCAAGGTTAAGTTGTTGGTTTTTTAGTAAACATGAATTCTGATTAAAATGGTTCCCCTTAAAGGGCTTTGCTACATGCTGCTGAGGGAGCAGAACTATCAGGCACATGCACTAGTTTCAGATATCAGTTCTCACCCAACCTTATCATATCGGTTACAGGTCAGAAAAAAGCAACTGTGAAGTAGTCCTAGATACTACTGGCAGTTGTACCACCTCCAGCTAGGTTGACAGAACCACAGAAGAGAAATTTTATTTGATAATATCCAGTCACAATACTGTTCATGTGATGATGTATGATTGTGACAACACTTATATGAGGAAACACATAGTTCTTAACAATAGCTTTATTTTGTGACTATCTTGATTTTAATTCTTATCACAATACCTAGCTTTAAAAATGAAATATTACTGTGCTAGTAAAATTACATAATCCCTAAACTCCAAAATCCATAGCTGGCCAAGTGTCACAAAACTGCAGTAAGCTTTTGGTTTCTCCAGAATTCACCATCAGGCAAGATGTTATACAACTCAGGGGGTGGGGTCAAGGAAAAACGTTATTTCTTGCCTAATTAAGAATTCTGGAGAATCCAAAAGCTTGCCACAATTTTGTGACATTCTGGATAGTCCTCAGAAAGGTACTTGACCAACTGTGGATTTTGGAGTTTTTTCCCTTATGGATCAACATGGCTAAGTTTGCTTTTTAGGACTACTGTTGGTGCTGAGCACTAAAGTTTTGATGGAGTATCGGCAGTAGTGTTACATTATTATAGAGTGTTGAATTGCTCCTGGCATCTGAAACTTTGATATGATGGCCAACATATCCTATTTTAAATGCTGATAGTGTGTAAATATTATCACACCTCTGCTACACATACCCTGATAAATAGGAGGAGAGGCACTGAACCTCCAGGAACATCAACAATGTGTGAGGTTGGTTCATTTCAAAGCTAATTAATCAGGGACACCAAACTGAGGAGATACACACGCAGTTTTGAACATGGCACAATCAAAACTGATTCAGTAGTGTCACAAATCCAGCAATACGCCACACTACTATATCATCTTTTTGTGACTTATTCTCCTGGACTACTGGACTCTGTGAAACTTTTATCATTTTCAATAGTTTTTAGTGCTTAAAAAAACACCTGACTATAATACCTCCACTTGTTGCAAGTCAGAAGCGAATAGCCTAAAAGTTAGCAGTAGAGCTACCAGTTAGCAGTCAGGCTCTCAAGCTGACTATAAATACAGTAAGTCTTTGCTGGGACTGATGGACAGAGTGTAGTAGCTCTTTATGAATGGAAGGATCCTACACTACTTCTTCCCTGACCACACCCATCTGATTTGACTAGTAAAGCAGTATCAAGTTACTGTGGTCCCCTTACAATCACAGCTACAAGCCAGTGTAGCACAATCACAACAGTATCAATTATATGCTTAGGGAATCAACGCAGTAATATTATATATTCTCAGCATTCCTCCCTTGTGGACCTGAAAACGTGATATGGATAGGGCTGATCGAGTTGTAGGCAAAAACAAGTTTTGCCAGCAAATCCAGCTAAGTTTAACATTAACTACGCATTAGGATAGCAACCTTCAAGAATGTGGGAACCCTTCGCTGACTCTAGCCCTCGCCATTGTCACTCACCAACCATTTGAGAATCTTGCCTTTTAAGCTGCTCTGAAATATAATATTCCTGAAAATAAGCGTGACTAGGGAATTCAATAAAGAGGAAGGGGGAGCCATCACCGGCCAGTGAAAGTCGTGAACTTGCCGCAGGTGGAAGGTTTAGAGATGGTGAGAGGGAGGAGGAGGGGGTGTCACTCACTTTCGTCCTGCCGTTGATTTTGTAGTTGCCCAGCTTGCCGTTGCAGTGGCGAATGAGATCGTCCATACTGTTCATGAGCTTCCCGATGGTCATGCAGCCAGGCTCCTTGCCTTCCACCCAGGTGATTTTGTCGCCGCGGATGTCCCGAGAGGAGTCGCTCTTCTGGCTGACCAGCTGCCCGTCCGTGAAGTGCCCGGTGTGGTGCAGGGCGCGCACCTCCTGCTCGATCTGCCCGCCCAGCTCCTTGCCGAGGAATTCGTCCACCACGCAGATGCCGTGCTTGTTCATGCAGGGCACGATGTACTCCAGCGCCAGCCGCTGAGGCACCAGGGACTTCATCTGCCCGTTGGGGCGCAGCGACTCCTCCGCGCTCAAGTTGGACTTATCCCGGTAGAGGAGCGCCGCCTTCCCGGCTCCGGGAGCCGCCGCGGCCGCTTCCTTGCCCTCCTCCCCTTCCTGCCCTCGGCTCTCTGGCGCCACTTTGGCAACGTGGTTGTTCGTTACCGCCGCCGCCGCCGCGGCCGCCTTCTTCTCTTCCGAGGTAGAGTCCGGCTGCGGCTTGGCCGGGAGCGCCGTTACCTTCTTGGGGGCGGCGGCGGCGGCGGCCGCCCCGTCTCCTTCTCCTCCTGCGGAGGGCTGGGGGGAGCGAGCGTGGCCGTGGCCTTGGTGTCGCTCGCCGCCGCCGCCGCTCCGGTGCTGAGCAACGCCCCCTCCAGCCGCCGCCGCCGCCGCGCTGGGCTCGCTCCCCCGGCAGATGAGCTTGTGCTTCTTCCAGTCCTGGCGCTGGTGCTCTTTGCTACAGTAGAAGGAGCTGCGGCAGCGCCCGCAACGCAGCAGGTTTTCCATCTTCCCGCACAGCTCGCAGTACTGCCGGTCCCGCTCGCTGCTGGCGCTGCAGCCGCCGCCGACACTGTTACTGTCGCCGCCGCCGCCGCCGCCTTGTCCGGCCCCGCCGCTGTTGCCGTTGCTGCCGCCGCCGCCGCCGCCGCCACTCCCACCGCTGTCATTGGCCATGTTGCCGCGTCCCCCTCCTCGGTCGCCCCTGCTTCTCCTCGAGCGGCCTTGGGAAGGAGAAGGAGGCGAGCGGCTCACTTCATCATGGCCGACCCCAGTCAGCGCTGCGGCCCCCGGCTGCCTCGCCCGCCTCCCGCTCCGCTCCTGGTGGGCGGAGGACAGTCAGCCACCAAAGCCCAGCGCCGCCGCCGCCGCCGCCGCCCTCTTGCCCGCCGCCGCCTCCTCCGAGGCTCGCTTCTGTCACCGCCTCATAGCGGCGGCGAGCCTCGGTGGCGGGGCAGGGAAGCAGCCCCTCTCCCGCCGAGACTGCCCGGCCCTTTCCTGCCCGGCCTCAGCCTGCAGCGCTGAGGGGGGGAAAGCCGCCGCCGAGTGCCGGCGCGAGCCCCTCGGCCTGCCTGCCTGCGCGCCTGCCTCCTCCTCACTCGCTCGCTCGCTGTGGCTGGAGCCGAGCGCGGAGGAGGAGGAGGAGGAGTTTGCGCCGCCACTCACGGGCTGCGCTCTGCACGTACGCCACTTCCAGTCAGCCCGCGCGAGAGGGGAGGGGGCCGAGAGGGCTGCCTCGCGCGCGCGCCTGCCTGCCTGCCTGCCTCCGAAGCGGGCGGGCGGCTTGGCGGGCGGGGCGGCAAAAGTGAAAGGGGGCCGCCACCGCCGCCGCCGCCTCATCAGCAGAGGTGGGCTGGGAAGGCCTTGCCACGCGCGGTTGGCGTGACCCTCTCTTCCCCTCTTTCTTGTGTGAGGAGGGCCGGGGGAGAGCGGCCACATGGCCGTCGCTCAGAAGGGGTCCTTTCGCTGTTGGGCTGAACGGATCTACTACTTTATAGTTATTTATTCGAAGCTCGAGGTCCACCAGCCAGAGCTAGCTGGAAAACGGGGAGAGGGGAGGAATAAGTACGTTTCGTATTACTCGAGAGCAGTATACGCTCGAGTAAACTGTTCAGCATATGCTTCTCAGCAGCTGGAGGAGTGAGCTCAAAGTTCTTTCACACGCACAGTGAATCACACCTCAAGCTTTCCTGTTATTCCTGTCTAATTCAACATCCAGAAGACCTGCTCGTTGTTTCTTGTCACCGCAAACCTTTGGAAGTCTTGCTGATCTACTGCAATGATCCTATGGTTCTAACCCGGCTGGAGAGCTAACAAAAATGCATCCAGAACTACGTTCTGCCAAGAGAACCTGATGCCCTTTGCGTTGCCTCAAGTCTTGCATCAAATGGAGTTTCCTTAATTCCAGAGGTTGGGGGCACACTCCCTGGCACAGATGGGTAAACAGTGTACAGTAGTAGCCTTGGTTTTGAAAAGGATGGATCAGCTATACTTACAGAGCAGTCTAATGTATCCATCAGGTGGCATGGCCACTACCCATCTACCAGTGCAAAAAAGCTGCATCCAAACCCCACTGAGAGGGGTTGAGGCTAGAGAGTGGGGAAGCAGCCCCCAGCAAGCCTGGCTACCATGTGCAAGGGGCCTGGACATACCACCAGGGAGGTGTCCAAGCATTTCAAGCGGATTCATTAGAGCTGGGAGTTGCCTTCCATCCAGAGGGTCCCTTGCCAGCTGTGGTTGGGTTCCACATGAGCTGAGGCAGTCTCAGCCCTGCTGACATCTTGGGACTTACCCAGGTTGCAGGTCGCTCTGACAACTCCCACAGTAACTCACCACATCCAGCATGCCTGGTGTATCAGACACAGAGCTGCTTGCGATGCTGGGGTGCTCACTTTGCAGGGAGGCACATGGTGTTTAACCCCTGAATGCCCACCTTCCATGGACCTGTGTCTTCCTCCACAGAGCTGCTCAGCAGAAGGCCTTATGTTACTGTGCAGCTCTATTGGGCACCATTTCTGTTAGCATATGTGCTAGATCAACACATTTGCCATCAGGAAAAGTTGCACTGTGCCATCCCCCAATACCTGTGGCCCCTTCCCTGTCTGACATTGACTGCCGTCAGTCCCTTTTTTTGGCAGGAAGGCAATCGAGGAGCTATGCTGCTCCTGACATCCTGCCCCAACAATGAGGAGGAATGTAAAAGGGAGCCCACTGCCATTTTGCCTACCCCCTGCTTTGAGCCTCCACTCCCCCCCTTTGCCATATACATTTTATCTGTCCTGAATTGTCCAACATACAGCTTCACTGGCTGTCCATGAGTTCTAGTGTTATGAGAGAGGAAAAAGCATATATCCACATTTTTGGGATGCGGGTGGCGCTGTGGGTTAAACCACAGAGCCTAGGACTTGCCAATCAGAAGGTTGGCGGTTCGAATGCCTGTGATGGGGTGAGCTCCCATTGCTCAGTCCCTGCTCCTGCCAACCTGGCAGTTCGAAAGCACGTCAAAGTGCAAGTAGATAAATAGGTACCGCTCCGGCGGGAAGGTAAACGGCATTTCCGTGCGCTGCTCTGGTTCGCCAGAAGCGGCTTAGTCATGCTGGACACATGACCCGTAAGCTGTACACCGGCTCCCTCGGCCAATAAAGCGAGATGAATGCCGCAACCCCAGAGTTGGCCACAACTGGACCTAATCGTCAGGGGTCCCTTTACCTTTTATCCACCTTTCTACACCATGCATAGTCTTACACACTTCTACATGTCACCTCTTACTCATCTATCCTTTAAACTAAAGAGCCCCAGATGTTGTAACCTATCCTTGTAGGGGAGACACCCTCCATGGACTCCACTCTCCACCCTTTGTGAGTCCACCTCCTCAAAACTACTCCTCTTCTTCCTCATAATTGCTACCCCTGCTTGCTTGCCAGGCAGAGAGCTAATGAGCAAGCAGGCAGTGGCACCTATTGCTCCTCCTCCTCACCACCACTACCATCAGGGCTTGGGCCAGAGTGACAGACACAAGCAGGTTGCAATGGCTGGAGAGGAAAAGCAGGTGCAGGGGGCTCTTGTCGATGAGCCCCTGCTGGGGTGTGGGTCCTTGGCAAATGCCAAAGTATGCTGACCTTTGATGCCAGTTGTCTCCAGGAAGGGAATGAAAGGAGGAAAAAGGGGAGGAGGGAAAGGTATTGAAAGTTGAGGGTTGTTGTTAGAAGGGAGGGAACAGCCAACTGTGTGTTTTTTGTACCATGGGAAGAGGTTGCTTTTCAAAAAGGCTACATGCACCTATTTAGAAAAGTGGACAAGACCTTTATCAAAACATTTTAAAGTGTGTATCACAGAGAAATGTACTTTTTGGCATTTGTAGTGTCGATTGGCGCCTGTGATAATCACAAAGCCACCTTATATCCTCCATCAGTACAAATATTATGAATGCTACTAGTGTGGGATCGGGGTCATGCCAGCAACAACAGGTTGTGGCCTGAGTACAGTGGTACCTCGGTTTACGACCCTAATCCATTTCGGAAGTCCATTCTTAAACCAAAACCATTCTTAAATCGAGGAACGCTTTCCCTAATGAGGCCTCCCGCTGCCGGTGCCCTTCCATCGTTCGGATTCTGTTCTTAGACCAAGGTAAAGCTCTCAAACCAAGGCACTATTTCTGGTTTTGTGGAGTTTGTAAACCAAATTGTTCTTAAACCGGATTGTTCTTAAACCAAGGTACCATTGTACTGTCAATTTTAAAAGCGAGTTGATTTTAAACCTATTTTCAGTTTTATTGTATGATTGTAAATGTGTGATTCATGAATTATCATCATCATCAACAACAACATCCATATCTACTCTGAAAAGATGACACTTGAGTCCCCCATAACAAAATAATTATAGGCACAGTAATCTTCGCTAGCCATAGGTAATACTATATTGAATAGGCAGTGGGTGTATTAGATATTATATGACTGCTAGATTCTTTTTAAACAACACAATACAAATAAGATACTTTTAAAAAAAATCTAATTCGGGGGACTACATATCACAGAATGATAATAGGATCCAAAAGCTGAAGACTATATTCAGCAGTAGCCTGTTTTTCAGCATTAAGTAATCATAACATGACCTTCTCACTTTGCATTCTGATGTTTAATACAGTTGCCTCATATGCCATGTTGCTGGCTCACTTTGTGAAAAACAATGTTAAATAATTAATCATTAATCTAAATCTGGTTTCTATCTCTAGTTTCCTCCTAAACTATAGTGATTGCTGCCCTGATAAGGGTTTTCATTTCTGTTTCTTTTGTTGAGTGAATTACTGACAATAAAGGGCTAAAAGTACTGAGCCCTGATACCTTCCCTCTCCCCAGGCCACATCCCTTAGTAGCCATGCTTTGAACCCTCATTGAGTATATTTGTCTGGCTGGAATGTGCCCTTGAACTCTGGTAATACTTCTTGTTTGCTTGGATGGAGAATACAGAGAAGTCTGTGAAGCTGCATAGAAACTCGCCTACTGTACAAAGATAAAATTCACCTTTGATTTTGGTTCCACCCACTACCAGCATGAGGAAAGTTGCTGTGAGGGGAATATGGAGGTAGCAGAATAGGTGCTAACTCCTCAAAACTGTCTTTTGGCCTAGGTGTGAAGAAGAAGGGCTGGATTTTGTATGCACTCGCACTTCGGTGTCATTAGCGCATCTCCTGGTACCTAGTATCTTTAGAAAACACCCCAGAATTCACTGTAGGTTAGTTGGAATGTGTGCAGAGGAGGTCTGGGGATTAAAAGATAAATCATTAAGAATAAACCTTTCAACATATTTTCACAGCATTCTGCATGTTGGACTTGCTCGCTTCGGGGAACTGTGACACAGAGTCTTTCAAAACACAGCCCTTGCTATGGAGAAAGTGAAAGAACAAAGAAAGGGAAAAAGTTATGTGCAATATAGTAGCTCTCCTGTCTTGTGATAACCAGATTAGATTGAGATTGGGAAAATACAGCAGATAGTGGAAATCATAAAAGTTGGAGCACAAATAGGACCTGTCTTGTGATAAGAAAAGGGGACCATTGCAGCAGCATAGTCAAACCAGTTGTGACTTCCTGCTGGGTTTCCAGCAGCATTCAGGATCCCCATAAACCCCTAGAGATGTTTGCCATCTCCCCTTACCCATGGGACCCAAGTCATCTGCCTCATTTCAGTAGCCTTATTTTATTTTGTCCTGAAAGCCCTAATGATCAAAGAGGAAGGGTTTGGAAGTTCTTAAGAGATGTGAATTTTATATTATTGCCTTGACAATACATAATCTATTAGTAATGCACCCTCAGCCTGCTGAAAACGAATGGGCTTGGTCTTCTCACGACAGGCTAGGGAATTATTTCATTTTATTAGAGCGGGTATGCTTTCTGGATGATAATTTTATTCCTAATGGGAGATCGTTTGCTGACTTATGGATGTTGCTTAAACTAAAAGTGGCACTGGAGCTTTCATTTAACTAGGGCAGGATGCAACTTCTTCCTTGTGATTGGCATGTGCTGGGATCATCACTGACTCACACACACAGGGACTTTTCCTGCTCACCACAACTTCCTCATAGCTCAGAGCGAAGCCAAAATACATACACAGCTTTGGAGCTAGCATACAGAGTTCTGGCTGAACAGAACACCCAATAACTGTTTTTAACATCAGGTGTTTAGATTGCCTT